TCAGCGTCTTCTCTCTCAGCAAGTGCTCAAAGCCCCCAACCCTCTTGGTGCCCCTCCACTGAACCCACTGACATTTGTCAATGTCTTTCTGGTAGTGGCAGGCCCAAAACTGGGCAAACATTCTAGACATAATGAATGATGATTGCTGGAGGATAACAACTTTTGTCAATCTACTAGCTATGTTCCTGTTAATATATGCCAAGATGCTGTTGGTCTTTTCTGCCGGGACACACTGCTGGCTCACATTCAGCTTGCTGTCCACCAAGATCCCCGAGTCCTTTTCAGCAGAGGTGTTCCCCAGCTGGAAAACCCCCAGCACTTATAATTGTGAGAGGTTACTCCTTCCAAAGGGACAGCCTTTTGTATCTGTCCTTGAATTTGCAGGGATGTGGTATGATGAGGTGTAAAACTGCAGAACCTTCATTACACATAATTCTTAAAAATAATAATTAAAAAAAATATTTCCCACTGTCAAGGAAATTTCATAAAATCACAAATGAAATAGAATTGCTTTTCTACTTACAAATGCACAATTTATTACAGAATCTGCTAGAGGTAACAAAAGCAAGTATTTCATACTGATAAATTGAACAATATTCCATCTTTTAAATTTTCGGATTGCTGTTTAGTTTCATAACTATAATACTGCAAATAAGTTTGTGCAGTATGCTTGATTTTTAAATTTTAGCTATCATTCTGTGCTTCTTTGAACATTTTTGAGCACATCTGTTCAGCAGTCTTCATGCATTAAGAAAATTCAGCATAGCTAAGAGGCTTTTCACAAAATAGCTTGCCTCGCTCATGAAGAATACAAAAAGAAACCATGACTGAATCTCACGCTCAGGGGAAATTTTGAGGTATGGACCACAAAGCAGATTGAGGAACTTTTCTTGCTATTAAGGCAGCAATGTGGCATAACATAGCTTTATTTTAAAGTGAAAAAAATACTGTCTTTAAAAGTGTTCTGGTTACTTGTAAATTTTTGAATCTGCTTCTTAAGGGATGTGCCTGGAAAGATTCTACTTAAGTAAAGGAATGCATCACACCTCTAAAGTAGACTAGTATGGAGTCTGAATTATTTACAGAATGAAATGTTGAGCTTGATATATGCAGAGCAATTTTATGTGAATCAACAGAAGTGTAGGACATATCCTAATTTAGCAGTATGTTTTGGTTTGTTGGGTTTTTGGAAAGAACATTTTTGCAGGGAGGGAATACAACTAATTTAAATTATGATGAGAACATTGTTTACATAAACTCCTTTGCATCTTTTCTAAGGCAAACTATCCAAGGTATTTTCTATGCAGCAAACACAATACTTAAAATAAGTAAAGAGTAGCGGAACATTAAAAGAGAGCAAGCTGTGAAAACAGGATCAAACACATTGCATACAATTAACTGAAAGTCAAACTAATTTTTCAGGTTTTGTTTTAAATTATATATTGTAATATAAAATGTGCAGTTATTTCTTGGTTTAGTTCCCATCGCAAACTGGATTTAAAAATAATTATCTATCTTGATTTCACAACTCTGTGATGAGGAAATTGCCACAACATTTAGTAACTTGCTTCAACAGTTAATCTACCTCCCTGTTAAAAATTTGCATGTTACTTTGAAGCCTAAGGTTCCAGCCATTGAATCTTGCTTTGTCGACCAGAATGACGATGCCTTACATGCATTCTTGTAAACTGATCTCTGAACCCCCATTAAGTTTTCCTCTTATGAAGAAGATTGAGTTCCTTGGATTTTCAGGTACTAGACATGATTTTCCATCATTCTTGTAGCTCTTCTCTGAACACTTTCCAGTTTTCAACATCCTGGTTGAAGGGTAGATATGAAAATTGAAGATGATATGACTGTAACTCCACTGCCAAATCTGAATGCAAATCTACTCAGCATTCCCCCTTCATAAATACAAGTACCTCTTCCATGTCTGGGCCCAGCATTAGATTGGGAACTCCAAGTCTATTGAATAATTATATTCAAGTAGTAACTGTTAGTAAAATTAAGTTGCTATTGTCAGGGCATATATTCTTCACTTTTTAAATTACACCTTTACTTTTACCATAGAGAAATATGTACTGTTTGACACTTCACCATGCAATCCAGTTTGTTTTTTATCATTTGACATTGCTCTACAGTTTGCACTTATTTTCAAACTTTATCAGCAATGATTTTATGTTCCATTCTAGGCCATAGGTAAAATATATAAACAGTGTATGACAAAGGAGTAACGCGACAAACCTTATCTAAACAGCAGTTTATGATTTCCAGTAGCTGACATTCCCTTTTACCTCATTCAGATTTAGGGACTATAGGTATGCCTTTCTGAAAAGAGTATCCTTTTATTTTTACATGGAGAACTCCAGTATGCAAATTCAGAATTTAGCACTTAGTAATTAAAGCTGGCTTTTATTAAAGAAACTAAATATGGAACAAAATAAAAAATTTAAAGATTCTCAAACATGCAAAAAGCAGAGAACTGCACTGTGATTTTTTTTTCTACCCACATAATATTTTCATATGAGAAGAAAACAGCCAAAATCTTGTATGAATATATAAATATATATAATGTTTCAAGAACATTGGGGATGAAATTTTGACCAAGTTGTATGTTCTATGTGAAGAAATTATTCTGGTAACAAAGCAGATTAATTTGTATGCATCGTAAAGTCTGTTGTCATAAGTAAAACGAGGATGTTGAGGTTTTAACATGGTTTGCGGGGGCACAACAAAGTTACATGTGTTTCTAAGATAGTATTTAGCTACAATGTGCTGGTGTGGTTAGCACAAAATATGTAGAGTGAAGAGACACAATATTATTTGCCTGAAGCGATAAGATTACTGGATTCTATTCTGAGCTTTGTGTATCACATATAGATACTTTGATCTGCTACGGCTAGCCTACCAACTTTCCTTTCAAAATTTGACTGCCTTTAATCAACAAAGAGACAAACCTGCCATTATTGTCACCAGCAAGTTCTAAAAATCTGAAAAAGTATTTATTGTTTTATCACGACAGAAAACAGAATGTATTTTACAGGTAGGTTTGTTAGTCATTGTCTAAATATAACTATGACAGTTTCTCTTTTTTGTATGCTGCTATTGCTTTTTCTGATACTTACTGTTTTATACCTCAAGCAGGCAATTTAGAAACCTTATGAGGAACATCAGCAAATGTTATGCGAGTACTATACTACGTCATGTATATTTAGCTAAAAAGTAATAAAGATACATCAAAAATGTAAAAGTATTCTGTGCAGATAGTACTTCCCAACAAAGGGCAAAGGTTTGTGGTTTGCTATGAGTTAGCTGACTTCAGTGGGACTATTTGTGTTCTTAGAGAGCATCATATGTTTGAGTACTTTGCTGAATCGAACCAGGGAAAGGAAGTTTTAAATGTTTTGTGTAGTTGTTACCAGGGTATTGCCAAATACAGCATAAAATATCCCAGAATGACAAAGCAGTGTTCAACTATGAGTAGGCTTCTTGGAAGTATTTACTTATTAATTGTGTTTCTAAGCCAGTAAGACAATGTAGAATGTACAAGGTTTGCCAACATCTTGGGCAGCTGAAAGATTGCAAATTAGAAGGTACACAGAGTTCAGATAACCACAGTTACCTACTTGCTATGTTCAGTCTTCAGAAAACTTGAAACTGTAGATCAGAAGAATAAGTACCACTGAAAATTGAGGATTTATTAGACATCTCAGTGTTGAATTCCAGAGGAATTCTAAAACGTATGCTAAAGTTCCATGAAAAAATATTTCCTATCATTTTACGGTTAGCCATTATCATTAGCCACAAGAGAATGGAAACATTGGAATAAAACTGCAAGGAAACGTGAACATCCTATTGACAAGAAAATTTCTATGAAAACTATTCCAGAACTGCTTCCAGGAAAGCCACTAAGACTGGGTATAGAAGAAGCAACAACCACTTCAGCAGTCAATAAGGAGAGTGTTTCACTAAGACTCTGCTTAATCTCCCACAGAAGGCAACATCCGCTAGATGTCATCGTGTGTCATAGAGATTTTTAGACAAACATCTACCATACGGGTGTCTGGAGTATAGGGTGCCCTTGAATACACTGTGCTGTTTAAAAAAGGACTTTCAGTAGATTAAAACAGTTGTGTGGAGCCCCACCGCGAATTCTAATGGCTAGCAATACTATGTGCAGAGTTAGCAGTGGACCCACAATGGGTGTAGTGCCTACGTAGTGCCTACCTTACGGCTTCATCTGGGGCCTGCTCAGTGCAACATGATGGGAGGGGAGGTTACTGGGGAGCAGCACCCTGTGCCACCCACTCCCTCGTGCTGTGTGTGGTGCTGCACTGGAGAAAGAGCCTGCAGATTTTTAGTGGGTAGTAGCAGAGTTGAGCTGTAATGGAAAGTTAGAAATAGAAAGGTTGGATAAGAAAGGTTCATAATCTCTGCCATCAATAAGCCCTCTATTTTCATGTACATGGTGTCCTTTTACTAGTTTACCCTGATCTTAGAGAAAACAGTGTTTTAATATAGTTATTTTATTAGCTATGAATTGAAACATTAAAAAAAAAAATTATTACATTTAATTCATTAAAAATTAATGAATTAATAAACTATATATAGAAAAGTTGATCAGATATCTTAGCTCACTTACAAGAATTCAACATACTCTGTTCTTATACCAATTATTAATGAACACACCATCAGCTCTATTTAAGTTCAGAAACTGTTTAATTTTATTTAGAAGTATCATCAGATCATTTAATATTTACTAACCATAACTTTCCCATTTGTTTGTTTGTTTTTTAATTTAAATTAACAGAAAACGTGTAACTACAATAGGATTTTGCTCTCACAACAATAAACAATCCTTTCCCATGGAAGGGAGGATTGAAGATCTAAGACACATTTCTTACAAACAACAACAACAAAAATTCTTTAATGTTCACGAACATCAATTTTTCATACATTGATGTCTTTATATGTGAGGGGTTTTTTCATCAGTTGACTGTGCTTGTTCAGATCTTTGGAGAAAGATTTTTATATCCTATGAAAAGAAAAATTAAATATTAAAAGGTTATTTCATGTTGCAGTTTGATCTACCTTAAAACTTGTAATAATAATGCCTGTCTTTCCATGGAGTCAGCTTTCTAACTAATGACTAGAAGACTAGAAGACTAACTTCAGTGGAGATATGTTACTTTAAATTACACCTTCCCTAGGTTACATAAGATGTCTTCCCACAAGGTCACTAAAACCAAGCTGTCATTCAGCTTAAGCACTATGTATGTTCAGTGCACTAAGGAAAACTTAAACATACAGTGACAACTGCAAAAAGAACAATCTTCGTAGAAAATTCTAAAAGAGCTCTGATGTATCATTAATATCACTGAGATAATGGTTTCATGTTATCCACACATCACTGTCTTCAGTGGTTTTACAAAACTACAGTGTGTTAAATTGCAATTCTTAAAGTAAGCAGATATCTTAAGCATCAGTTTAAACTTATCAGTAAAGAAAAATAATAAGAATGTTCTTTAAACTAGCAAATATTATTCAGAACATACACAGAAAAATTCTTCAATAAAGTTTCTTTTTTCTATGTGTCCTATTTCAGGCTGAACTTAAACAACACTTCAAGGAAATGGAAATAAAAGAAAACAAGTAACTGACGTATGGAATAATACATACCTGAATTCTTTATAACACATTGTCTAATTGTTAATTTTCAATAATTTTTTACTAGCACAATTGTCTCTAATTCCAATTGCAGCAATACTATCCATTGTGTAAATAGGTTGAACAGAAAATTTTTAATTTAAAAAAAATTATGTACTGAATATCTAATACAAACAGTAATTTAACTTTCTAGCATTTTCTGGTATTGTCAGTAAATAAATTTTTCCTTTAGGAGAATAATTAACCATCAGAATTCTTATAAAATAAAGTAGTTTAAATTCAGATACACACTCCAATATGTGTTTTATGCATATTTTGAAGATACAGACTTTTTTCCAGAACTGTCTGTATGTAATGATGCCTCACATGCCTTGCAATATATCAGGAGTATTTCAGTGAATACAGAAGAACTATGTTAAAAAGGTAATTTTACCAGTCCTTTGTTTTAGAAGGTAGTACTAATATTTATCTTTGACTCTAAGAAATACTTCAGTTTAAGGAGGCCTTTTTCAGCACACTGAGTCAGAAAAAGGAGTTTCAATTCCGGTTCGACAAAAGTAAATGTTAGCAAATGGAACCTTCAGCAAGTTCATTATCAGCACTTATTACCACACCAAGCAGATGAGGATCTCAGTAAACTGTAGTGCTTCTGGCAGGACAGAATGAGAATTTTATTAAGAGTTCTAAATAGTCTCTATTCCTGTAAAATGTGTGAGAAAGGTACTGCTGATCAACGTCAAGCAAATGATATATAGAGACACTGTCACTGTTCATATGTGTGGGAAGTGGAAATTTTATGTTTTAGCAATGGCACAGAAATATACATTAAGTATAAAAGTAAGAATGGTATGATTGAAAATTATAATCTGTTGCAGAAAAGAGAGTGACAACATTTAAGAATGTGTTAATTAAAAAAAGTTTCCTCTGGACAGATTTTATTTGTGTAACCACCAGTTTTGCAGAGGAAACCAAAAGTAAATAAACTCAAAACACTGGAGAAAAAGAACTTCAATAGATTTACTATGTCTGTGTTTAATGAAGTGAACAATGTTTCTGTTACATGAATAGATATTTTTATCTTTTTTTTAATGTAAGAAACAATATTTTTAATGTATATTTGTATTTCTTAAGATTTTTTTTTATAGAATACATGACAAAGAGAAACATAACATACGCCTCTTTTCTAAACTATGTATTCAAAGACTGAGTTAAATTTTCCTTCTCTTGCACACTGGGACATTTAAAACACCACATGAAAAAGGCTCCTCAGGTTTCATAAGTATTACAACTACTGCCTTTGAGTAGACAGTGATTCAGCGGTGCTTTTTTTCTGCTAAAATATTAAGTATTGACTATGAACTATATGGTCCACCTCATAAATCTTACTGAATATAATGTGCATGAACTCTCCCTAGACAGAAAGCATTTTTACTTTGTTAAAAGATACATGGACTTCTGAATGTTTGTTGAGTTGTGTAATATTAAGTGGCTGCTGTGAGTATGAACAAGTTTTGTAATAGTTGTTCAACACACTAAAATGTTTTTTTGATAAAGACATGTTAACTATACATCATTAGGAATCCTGCCTTAGTGCAAGTCTCATTTGAATTACTTGAATGTTACTGATATGATTAACAAATCCAATTACAATAACGGCAGTGACAATTAACTTAGAAGGAACAAACTTGATGCAAGGGCCTATGTTAAATGTATTCAAAACACAGATGCATAGAAGTACAATGTGATATCCTTATCTTCAAAACCAGAGCTTTTAAAATATGACTATTCAGGATTTGAAAGCTGGAAAAAAAAAGTGACATAACGTTATCAAATGTATAATGGTTTTGGTATCAGCAAACAGCATGCTAATTATAAAACTACTTGTTATCCTCAGTAATGATAAGAATGTAATTCACCCAAATTAACAGATTAATGCAAGCATTGAGAATTATAGAAGTAGACACTAAAATGTGTGGTTGATTCTGTTACTGTACCTGTGACAGTCTCAGGACAGAAGGCAAAATTTGTAACAAGAAATAATACCAGGCCTGAAGAAGACCCCTTAACAGACCAACCTTAATAGACAAACCTATTCAGCAGAAAAAGCAGAAGTTCTTGCTTCTTCCATCCGAATCAGTCAGTCTAATAAAAATATTTTCTCACTTATTATTAAATGTATTTAAAGACAATTTAATGCAGAATGTAATGAAGTGCATTTATAAACACACACAAGTATAGGTGTGGTCTAACTATTCTAAACAAATAAATTTCATCTGATAAGTAAAAAAATGTGCTGATAATGGGAAACCACTTGGAAGTTCTAGTCAGGATCAGTAAGATTTCTAATCAGGAGAGAAGAGGCCAGATGAAAAAGTAATACAATTTCCAGTTGGCATTTGTACTAAGGCTAACAGAACGGTCATCATGTAGGGTATTGCCAGCCCACTGGTATATGAACTGAGAAAACAACTTCCCTTCAAAAGACAAGAATATATCTCACCTGGAGACAGTGTTTTTTCAGAGATAGTACTGGTTAAAATTGAACAGGTCAAGAGGCCAAAGGAATCAGGTGCCCTCACTCAAATTTAAAAAAAATGTAAGCTAGATACACCATCTATAGTTTTCAGCAAAACATTTTATTTTCTACTCTTTATGACTGCAGTAGTAGAAGCATTTTAACCTTAGAAACCACACCCTAACTTACTATATTTATCTAGTAAAAGATCTCAAAATAACAGCACTGTGGTTGAATTTCATTTTTATAGAGATTTTTACAGTCTTAGGAGTACTTCTAAAAGAAATAATCAATGCTAAAAATATTGTTTACTTACTTTGGAAATGTTTTGGGAAGAAAAAGTTCATGTGTTCACCAAATATAGAATTGTCAGAGGAAAACTGTTCCTGGAGTTCATATGTTTTTGAATTCTAACCCACATAAAATAATGGCCTCTGGGTCTCTGTCTGTTTGCTGGTGAATATAATAATTGCTGTACATTGAGTAAGTACTTGTGGTCTTAGCTGTTCCCCACTTAGTCAGAATTTGAAAATAAGACTGTGAATTGTTGATTTCATGCATAAAACAACAGTCTGCTATATCTAACTGTCAAGTCAGGAGACACGGGCATCAAATTAATCTGTCAGATAAGTAGAAAAATGTATTATTTATATGCAGTGATACCAATATAGCTTTGGTAAACAAGTTGAGGGAACTCCTTTGGGCTTGAACATGTGCACTGAAACCCTCAACTACTGCCAAGATTCATATACAATAGTTTCTCATCTACACCTTTTCTCATAGAATAACAATGTTTATAACTGTACTGCCCTGAACATATCCTGACAGCCAGAAATAACATAGGTGATGGATGGTAGCGAACAAAATTTAAACATCTACTACAATGTACTCTTTAAGCTATATAACATGGTTCCTCCTGAAAGCGGTACAGGAAGGTTAGAAAATTTGATAAAGAATCGATGCTGTGCTCTTGATATTCAGTTGTTGGTTAGTGAAAAGGTTTTAAAACAAAGTTCCTCTCTCTCTAAATAGCAGAGCATATGCACATAGACATTTTCAGTTTACATCCTAGTTAAGTATTACTTTAGGTTGCATCACATCTGGTCTTCATGAGGAGCTTGCATTATGTTAAATGTTGCAAAGTCAGTGAGTTCTTTGCGTAAAGAACAGTTTTTGAGATGGATCATGTATAGAACACAGCTACTTTAAGAACTGCTTTGGTCTACAAGAAATTCAGAGAAGTTGGGAAAAAATGTTCAAATTAGGAAATGCAGTACTTGATTAAATAAAAAGTGTCAGAAAGAAAGAAAGGGGAAGGGAGGAATTACCTAACATTCTATGGTGTTTATCTTCCCAAATTGGCTGAGACATTAAAATAGGCAGGGTAGACACTCATTGATAGTTATAATCTTCAGCTGTATTGTCTTTGTCTTGCATTTTCCTTTTTTATCTCTTCCTACTATGGCAAATAAATTTTTAACCCCGACTTTGACAGAGTACATATATTCTTTTATTCTTATAGCTTGTCTTTTACTAACGGTGATTACAAGTGATATAATAAATTCTGGGCATTGCAATTCTTACAAGTGATGAGTATGCTTCTTACAAGCGATGAATATAAGAAATAGCAAGTTACTCCTGGAGCAACATGCATCTATTCAGATTTACAGTTTGTGGAACAGATTTAATTTGTGCCCCTGGTGGTGATCATCTCAATCTTGTGAAGAGTGTTTATGTTTGATCTTTGGATCTGCGAATGCAAGCATGCTTTCATCTTGTCTCATGCTATATTCTTACACACTGTATATCATGTATTTTTGCCAGAGTTCAACACATTTAATAGGCTGATATTCTGGCCCAAACTCGCCTTATGTGCAACTGTTTTAATGCACATTTAAATGTAGTATCAGGGAAGCTCTAGAGTATGGCAGAGAAAAACTTTTGGACCTGTACGACCTCTGCATGACCTTTTCTGCACCTGCTTGACCTGGGATAGAATGTGTTCTATTACATTTCCCATAATGTCTTGCAGTAAAATCTACTTGGGAAGAGAATCCAGCCAGGCTACTTCCTACAGGTGGGGGAAAAGGCAATGCCACATGTGACAAGGCAGTAGAAAACATGTGGGCAGGTATAGGCCAGAAAGACAGGTATAAAAGGTCAGAAAGCAGCGTAGTCTTTAATGAACAGAGATTTCACAGTAAACAAAACAACTGATCTAATTTACAACCTGCTATCCTGTGCATCTAGTCTACACTGCAAATTGGCAGTATCTAAATTAATTACATTTACACTTCTGGAATGATGTAAATTTCAGTATATCTACTTAAAAAGCTCTTCGTCCCAGAAAGTAATACTTACAGGAAGCTTGTAGCCTTGATATGCGTTCATCAAGTCTTGAATGAAAGGATGCTTCAAAAGGAGTGCAACTGGAATGGGTGTCAGATCTTCAGTGCCTAATTCTTTGTATATTTTGATGAAATGCTTAATAAAAAATAATATGGGGTCAATTTATTGTTTAAAAAAATTTGGGGAAAAGCAAAGATTGCAGCAAGTATTTAATTAACATATAATGTAAGGTACATAACCTTCTTTGTCTCATTCCTACCTTATCATAGCTGCCTTCCTTCTGCAGATTATTAAATCTATTATTATCTTCATCTTTACTTCCTCCAGTATGAAAGACTTTGAGCAGAGTTGCCACTGAAATGAGTCCTTTGTCTGTGTAATCCAAAACTTCTTTTCCATCTTCTATCAAAATTTTCTCATTTGGAACTATGTTCGTATAAGGAAAACCCTAAAAATATAAAGCATAGGTTTAATACCTGGTGATAAACAGTCTGTGAGTAGGTCATTTGCTTCAGTTAGACATTAATTAAGGATCAGTGGATTATACTTCCAAAATTCAGTTCTTACAAACAGAAATCATCAACTCACACAAAACTATCTACTGAACTATAGGATGAAGGAATATATCATGAGTTCAGAAATATCTACAACATTGGCATTAGAAGAAATTTAATAAACAGCTTCTTGCAGTAATGTGGCCAACATTCCACTGAGAAATTAATATTCTTCAAAGCAGCAAAACATAAAAATACTTAATAGTTACAAATTACAATACTTTATCAAGAACTTTGAATCAGGAGTAAACTTGGTGCCTCTGGATGTTCACATGAAAAAAATCATCATGAATTTTCTAGTCTAAATCAATTATTTTGGTTAACAACATAGGCTCACCAACTGTTCACAGAAAAAAATGAAAAAAGCTCTATGCAGAAAAATAAGTTTAAAATGCAATGAGGTATCTTTGTGGTCATATTAGAGGTGGTCAAAGAGAAAAAAAACCTACTGTAGACATTTGTGAGCACAAAGATGAAAAAGGACCTCACATAGGTTAATAATACTTTGACTACATTAGGCCACTGTGTAAACTAACCATTGACTCCAAGAGGAAATTGCATTTACTTGAATGTACCATTTCTTTCCTCATTAGGAAGGAGAGACTTCTGAGATTCAGTCACACTTCTGCTACACGTCTTAGGCCTTAATACATGTATTTTTCAGCACAGAAGAAGCAGAGTCATTGATAGTCTTTTTAACACTCAACAGTGGAGATTACACAAGTACCAGCACTTAGGTTTTTCTATCACCTACTGTACCATTTACATCTAGCTATAAGATCTACACAACAACTCAACAAAATTATTGACTTAAAAGCTAAGCATTTAAAGTGAGTCTTAGCTATGAAGTCAGTAAAAGTGACAAAAGTTTCTAGAACAGGTTTGTATGATCTTCTCCTATTAACATTATTAATTACAGATATAATTAATTATATATTAATATACATTTCAGATGTATTTCTGTAGGCAGCTATCAATGAGAAGTCATTACAATTATCAGCACAGAACCAGAAAAAGAGAAAAGACAACTTAAATTAGGTGCTGCCATGTAAGTGTCTACTTATAAGCTGGCTATCTAAGGTTTATAGAAAACTTCTCTGAGATGAGATGGATAGCTCTTTATATTCCACTGATGAATACTCCATTCATAATATTTACTGGATTTCCAGTACCTGTAGTGAAAACTGGGATATTTAGATCACATGTATACTGGCCCAGGTAGTCAAAGGTATAGGTTCTTAATTTGGTGCTGAAGACCACTTTGAAGGTCTTCAGGAGTCAATGTCTTTCCATTTGATGGAGCTTGACACAAATATGACATGATACCAACTCATCATTTCCTTTTTGCCCCCTTGTGGTTGTGGAATATCCTGCATGAAATGCTGGCTCTACTGAAGCCAATGGTGAAAACTCATTCACTTCAGTGCAACAGGTTTTTATTATTTTTTTCTGTTTTCGACATTATTGTTAAAGTGTACTCCTATAAAACACAAGGTATAAGAAGAAATAAAAGATTGAAATTATGTTATTATCAGCCCTGCAGTTCTGAGCACCAACGTATTAAAGACAATTATAAAATCAAAGAGAATCCACACATGCAAGATGTTCATTTAGCATCTAATTCTTAGATATTTCTATGTTTCTAAGGGACTCCCTGAGACAAATTGGGCACACAAGCTGTCAGTATGATACGCTGTGAGACATACATGAGATAGCACAGATTCACAGAGACAGTACATTGCGTGGGAAACTAAGCATAAGGAAATCCTCAGGTCTGATGGGATATAACCCTTGTCCCTCAGAGATATGTTGTTAAATCTGTATTGAAGGGAAATGTTTCCTTTCACTTGTGACTCACAGCCTTAAGAATTCATTGACACATAGGTGATAATGATAATGCCAGTGCAGCTACTTGCAATCTTACAAAAGTCCGAAGCAAACAGATGAATCCAGACAGAAAACAGTAAGGAGGACAACAGGCTGTGTTGCTTTATACTCAATGACATGGGAGTTAGAACTTTTCACTGAAATACAGAAACGAAGTACAGATCTACTGTATCTAATTGGAAGTATCCTGTGCTCTCCTTCTTCCTATGAAATGAGAAAATTGTCTTATTCAGTCTCTCCCATGGACAAAAACTTTGATGTGCCAAATAAAAGCAGTACAATAATATATTCTGTCATTTAAAGTGATAAAATGTAATTATTGATATGTATAGGATTATACTGTGTGGTAAGATAATATACTTTCCACTGTTTCTGGAAAGCACGACTATTATTCATATATTTCTGGATGTTCACTACAATATTAAATATTAGGCAAATGTTAAAGTCAATGTGGTTGTGACAGTATAGTGAAACGTTTTATTACCTAGAAGAGCAAGCTCTTTCCAAGGTGTGCACAGATACATATTTTATGTCTCAAAAAATTACTTGTACTTTAATAATAAGAACTGATGAATGTAATGCACTAACAGCAGTTTCGAGACTTTAAAAACAACAACATACTGCAGATATGCTAACAATGTTCAAAAGCCCAGCTTAATTTGACATGACAATACATTAATCATGGTTCTAAAAATAATTTTTTAAATTATTTCTTATAAAACTAATTATTAACTATGAATCTTTCTGATTTACAGGTAAACCAAAACACTGGAAGATAACAGCAAAGGTATAGCCCAAAGAAACATAGTGGAAAAGAAAGTAAGACCAGCAATAATATCAGGTTTTTATATCTTTAGATAACAATATCATAAATCACACCACAGTCTCATTCCTGGGGATTGATAGCTGGACATAACTGTCTAAGATTTGGTCAGACAATGTCCTCTGTTCATCTGTGTAAGGAGTATTCATCAATAAATATCAAACTTTCATTATTATTTGACAAGTAAATTTTCAGAATTCTCTAACAATACTCTGAGTATTATTACCAAAGCGAGTGGAACTATTTTGCAGAATTCCCATGAAGTCAGCAGGACTATTTGTGAGGACTGGAGATAGCCAGGATAAGAAAACATACAGAAATCTAGATTATTTATAATTTGCAAGCACCACTGCTATTCTCTATTATTTTATTGTAATATTTTACCCCACATGGAAGAGTAGCTTCTTCTTTTCTATGAATATATGTTCCAGTAGCAATGCTAAGTGCTCTGTAAACACCTTCAACTGGGTCGGAGTGGGAGGCAAAATAAAGTAGCATCTCAGTATAGTTGAGCAGAGGAGGATCTTTTCTGGTATCTGCAAATAAACTGAAAAAAAACTATAAAAGGAAAAAAAATGTAAATTAATTTCTGTAAGTGGAATTTAATCAAATACAAATCAAAGAGTGTAGAGAGAAGGATGAAGTAAATTAATGGCTGCTGATAAGTAATTATATTTTAAAATGTGATAAAGCTGTGGAAATCAAGAGAAATTAGTCTAATTCATTCAAGGAAACAGAAATCGTAGTATTTTCTTTTCTAGATTGATGATTTCCACAGAATAGGCAGAAATTAATAAAATCTTGTATCATGACAAATAGATCCAAAACATTTTCTTGTATGCAGATCACACTATTGCTCCCTCCTTCATGGAAATTTCCATGAGCTTAGATGCAGGGATCTTTTGCCTCCCATTCTTTACAAAGCTGGTTACTTTGTAGCAAAATTAATGTGGTTCAAAGAATAGGAATAATGAAGTCCTTCTGAGTATACTGATTTAGAATACTGAAGGGCAATTCCTAGATTTCTTTCTACATTATTTCTAACTTTAAGTTTTTATACATGGAAATCATATTCTGAAGCACCACCTGACCTCAAAAACATTGGAACAGTTAGAAAAAAAAGTGACCCAAGAAACTTCTGTATAAGACTTCTTGGGTTAGAATACTGAATGGTCTCTTCAAAATAACTATGTTTTTAAAGTTACCTTTATGAGATGTCTTAGCCTATCTAAAGGCAAAGGTACTGTGCAACTTTTTGTTATGCTTAGATCTTCATTTTCATTAAACCATAAACCAACCTGATTTAAAAAAAAAAAAAAAAAAAAAAAAAAAAATGATTTCACACATTAAAATACAGTGGTCTTTATGCTTTATAATTAACAGATTACTAAAACCTTAATTCCTGGACTTAATCAAGCTGAATTTGTTATTAATATACAATGACATCAACTAACTGTTTGCACTTTTGTAACAGATGCTTTGATAAATACTGAAAATGAAGAGGGACAAAAGTGACACTATGCTCTTGAAAAAAAGTGAAAATTATCTAGGTAGTTTTTAAACCTGCACTGGCCAGGAAGCAGAATATAATGCAGTGTTTCTATGTATATTCTGGTTTCTTCCTTTTAGGGTATACTTTGCTATTCCAAAGCTTCTGTCCTAACTCTACTTTTGGAAGACACTGTCCACACACTTCAATATAATGAATGACAGAGGCATGGCTCTTCCAATTCTTGCCTGTTCCCAACAACAAGACTAAATGTCCTGCAATGCTTACAGGGTTATACCTACAACTTTAAATTAAAAGCGACAAAAAACAATTTTCCAATTCTAGACCCAACACACAGGAAATATCAGCTAGATCTTACTTTCTAAAACAGGATGACCATGAACAGACTGTCTACAAAAAAACTCACTTAGAAGTGGCCCATTTTAAATCATGCCAAGTTGTGCAAACTATTCCACAATATGCACAACCGAGTATCATTACCTGGGAATGTTCCCCAATACTGTGTTCCCCAGTACCGGGGGATGTTCCCCAGTACTGTGTAATTTAGTAGCACGGGTGCAGACAAAGGGGCCAGCAGGGGCACCTCTAATTCCCAGTGGAAGAGTCTTCCTGTCATTCTCAATAAAAGTTGCTTGTAATTGTTTCTTGTTAAGATAGTAAAATAAAATAAGTTTCATGACATTTTGAATGTATGTAAGTCTCAGTATTGAACAGAGAATAAAGTTTGTTTCCATTTTTATGGAAAGATTTTAACATTTAAAAATACTCAATATATTACCTATTAGATTAATGGACTAATAAGGAAGATTTCAAATAGTTGAAAACCTTCATGAATCACAGATGTTAATGAGAGATGTAATAGTCTTGCATTGTAGGCTTTAAGTTAAAATATTGTAACAACATTATAAATTTCATTAGCAACATCCTTTCCTTTTCCATATTTCAGGTGAATTACTACATTCCTGATTATATAAAATATTTCATTATTATGAAGTGCTTTCTTTACAAACCAAGACAATGAAATAGGACAAAACAAGAAGTTCCAAGAGACTTAAAAAAAAAAAAAATAGCAAAGCTAGTTTTCTGCTTTTTACCCATGTGAGTTAGCTGGGAGATCTGAGCAAATGAATAACAAGAAAAATATACTTCATGTTGTCTTTGTGATCATTACCAGAAATATATCAGATGGTTTGCTGTAGATGATATAATTGTATTATCAATGATAACAATTGATGAATAATTATTTTACTCTCTGCTATTGTTCTTTCCTTAATTTTATGGGCTGCACCGACTCATTAATTCTCTAGTGCACCATGTTCCACAGAACATGAATAATTTTCTTTTCAAGAAATTAATAAGAAAGAAACAAAACAATATTGACCTCAAAATTTGCCATAAATTGCTCCAAAAGGATACAACAAACATTGCAATAAAAGCAATTCAGATGTTCTTCATCAATTAATTTGAAATTAGAAGATACATTTTATTAAAGTCTGAAAAATTCTGTTCCTGTTCTTCTCCTGTTCTTCTGTTCTGCTTTTGCACTGTACATGCAAAACTTCCATAACACAGTACTGTAAGTAACATGAAGTGTAGGACCTCATAAACAGCAGATATATGGGTTTTCATGAGGTTTTTAAGTGAATAAAGATTTGGTCATATTTTCAAATATGAAATAGGAGTGACAGACATTATAACTTTCATTGAGTTGACCATCTGCAACAGGTCAAGGGCACTCATGCCACCTGATCCTCAAGGCAAAATGGTGGGCACTTGTCTCTGAGAGCAAAGGCTGCAGCTCTGGCTGGAGGGTCTGCATCATCTACCCTGATGCCTCCCCGCAGACGGAGTTGCTGAAGAGAGAGGCTGCAGTGCAGACCTTAGACTGCAGGAGGTGCTTAGATCTTTCTCCTGGGGCAGGACCAGGCAGCAGAGCTGTCTGCAAAAGGTGTGCCCATGTGGAGGGCCTCCTGCAGCAGGTAGCAGAGCTACAGGAGACAGTGAAAAGGCTGCCTAGCATCAGGGAGGCTGAGAAGGAGTTAGATAGATGGTTCCAGGAGCAGTCTGCAATGATTCATAGCCCACAGACAGTCAAAAACTCCCCCACCAGGACACATGGAAGGGAGCCAGGCCAGTAATGCAGAAGAATGGAAACTTGCAATGGCAAGAACCTGCAGGAGGAAGAGACTTCCCCCTAAGCCTGAGATGTTCTTGCAGAACCACTTCACTGCTCTGCAGACTGAGAGCCACCACATCAGGAGAGATGCTGGAGCTGAGTAAGGCAGGCCAGCCTGCTCCCTGTATAACAACCAGTGCAACTAAGAAAAGGTGACAGCAGTAGGTGACTCTGAGGTACAGACACCCATCCGCTGACCTGATGCACTCTATAGAGATGTGTGCTGCTTACTGGGGGTTCGTATCAGGGATGTCACCAAGAGACTACCGAACATCATACAGTCTCCTATTATCTTCTGCTTTTCTTTCATGTGGCACCAATGATACAGCCAGGAGCAGTCTAAGGACTATCAAGAGGGATTACAGAGCCCTGCAAGCAGTGATAACAGACTGGAGTGCAGGTAGCTTTTTCATCAGTCCTCCCAGTCAAAGTGAAGAGATTTGAAAGGACCAGTTGAATCTGGTAAATCAATAATTGGTTACAGGACTGGTGCCACAGACAGGGGTTCAACTACTTAGACCATGGGACTCACTTTGAGAAACCTGGTCTATGGGGGCTGATGGGGTCCATCCATCAGAGAAGGGGAAGAACATCTTCTGTCATATGCTTGCCAAGCTGGTGAAGAAGTCTTTAAAGTAAAGTTGCTGGGGGAGAGGAACTTCAGTCCATCCCTCTCCTACCAGCTTGATGCCAGTGCCAGCCACAGATGCCCAGAGCCTGGAGAGGGATCACAGGTCAGCAGGAGAAATCCTGAAGAGCAGCACAAAGGAATTCCAGCCAGTAAGTCAGCTTCATCAGGGGTCCAACTTAAATGTCTCTATGCAAACACACACAGCATAGGGAATAAACTAGAGGAGCTAGAGATGTGTCCATGCCTGCAGGGCTACGATTTTATTGGCATCATGGATACTTGGTGGGACCACTCCTATGACTGTAGTGTTGGAAGGAGGGATACAGGCTCTTTAGGAACGACAGGCAGTGGAGACAAGGAGGGGGTGTCACCCTCGATGTCAGTGACAGCTGGAGTGCAGGGAGCTCTGCCTGGGGATGGGTGAGGAGCCGACCGAGAGCTGATGGGTCAGGACTAAAGGGAGGGCAGGGACAGATGTTATTGTGGGGGTCTGCTACAGGCCACCTGACCAGCAAGACCGAGTGGATGAAGGCCTCTACAGACAGATAGGAGAAGTCTCATGTTCACAGGCCTGGTCCTCATGGGGGACTTCAACCACCCCAATATCTGTTGGAGACACAACACAACAGGGCATAAGAAATCCAGGAGGAATGTGCTGATGTTACCTCCACATGATAGTGGAGCCAACAAGGAGAGGTGCTATGCTGGACCTTGTTCTCCCAACAAGGAGGAGCTGGTGGGGAATGCGAAGCTCAAGGACAGCCTTGGCTGCAGTGACTGTGAAATGGTGGAGTGCAAGATCCTCAGGGCAGTGAGGAGGGTGCACAGCCAGCTCACTACCCTGGACTGCAGGAGAGCAGACTTCGGCCTCTTCAGGGATCTGCTTGGCAGAGTAGCATGGGGTAAAGCCCTGGAGGGAAGAGGGGCCCAAGAAAGCTGGTTAATATTCAAGGATCACCTCCTCCAAGATCAGGAGTGATGCATCCTGACAAAGAGGAAGTCAGGCAAAAATTCCAGGAGGCCTGCATGAGTGAGCAAGGAGCATCTGGACAAGCTCAAACACAAAAGGAAGCCTACAGAGGGTGGAAGCAAGGACAGCTAGCCTGGGAGGAATACAGAGAAACTGTCCAAGCATACAGGCATCAGGTTAGGAAGGCCAAAGCCCTGACAGAATTACATGTGGCCAGGGACACCAATGGCAACAAGAAAAGTTTCTATAAGTTCATCAGTGATAAAAGGAAGACTATGGAAGGATTGCTGGTTACTCAGGACAGGGACAAGGCAGTACTCAACAACTTTTTTGCCTCAAGCTTCACCAAAAAGTGCTCCAGCTACATCACCCAAGTCACAGCAGGCAAAGGTGGGGACTGAGAGAATGAAGAAATGCCCACCATAGGAGAAGATCAGGTTCAAGACCATCTAAGCAACCTGAAGGTTCATCTGCAGGTCCTGAGGGAACTGACAGATGAAGTGTCTAAGCCACTATCCATCATATTTAAGAAGCTGTGGCAGTCCGGTCAAGTTTGCACCGGCTAGAAAAGGGGAAACATAACACCCATTTTTAAAAAGGGTAAAGATCCAAGGAACTACAGATCAGTCACTCTCACCTCTGTGAGATGTGGATCAGATCCTCCTGGAAACTGTGCTAGGGCCCATGGAAAATAAGGTGATTGGTGACAGCCAACATGGCTTCACTAAGGGCAAATCGTGCCTGATGAATTTGGTGGACTTCTACAACAGGGTTACAGCATTGGCGGATAAGGGGAGAGAAAGTGATGTTATCTACCTGGACTTGTGCAAAGCATCTGACACTGTCCTGCACGACATCCTTGTCTCTAAACTGGAGAGACATGGATTTAATGGATGGACCACCCAGTGGATAAGGAATTGGCTGGATGGTGCCACTCACACAGTTGCAGTCAGTGGCTCAGTGTCCAAGTTGAGAGCAGTGACAAGTGGCATTCCTCAGGGGTCCATATTGGAACTGGCAACGTTTAACATCTTTATTGGTGACATGGACTGAGTGGGATTGAGCAAGTTTGCTGATGATACCAAATTGGGTAATGGCTTTAAACTGAAAGAGGATAGATTTAGATCAGATATTAGGAAGAAATTCTTTACTGTGAGGGTGGTGAGACACTGGCACAGGTTTCCCAGAGAAGCTGTGGCTGCCCCCTCCCTGGCAGTGTTCAAGGCCAGGCTGGACGGGGCTTTGTGCAGCCTGGGCTGGTGGAAGGTGTCCTTGCCCGTGGCAGGGGGGTTGGAACTGAATGATCTTCAAGGTCCCTTCCAATCCAAACCATTCGGTGATTCTATGATTCTATATTTGCAGTATGAATCAGCTGGATAGTAAAATCCTCAGAGCAATGCGGACTGTTGAACTGAGATGTTTTGCATTGCCTCTGGCAATAACATTGCCATAACATTCTCTTGAGCATCTAAGTTACGTGCCTACCTCTATAGATCTCTTCTGAAAAAGTAACTTCAGTTGTGGAGTTAGCTGTGTGTTTATGAAATTTTTAGTTCTTTTTAGTCTTTAAGCAGCTGTATGAGACTGTAGGTTCAGAGTCATCACTCTCATGGAAGTTTGGAAAAACTAACAGTGGGTAGCTCTATAAACAAATGCGTATACATCATTGCATATTTACTATCATTGACTGAATGTGGGATAAATCCAACCCTCATGGGAGTAAATTAATTGCTCAGTTAATACTATATTTGAATTACAATCCTGTGTTAAAAATATATATTCACAGTCTGCATGTCTTATTTTAAACTCTCACACCTCAGTAAAAATTACTGCATCAGTAGACAAATAGGTGCAGATAGACCTGCATATTTTGTTGGTTTTCTTTGCAAGTCTGAGGTGAGTAGGGGTTGGCAGGCACTCTTGGAAGTTTTAAATTAATCAAAGCTGTTCTGAAACTGACACGTTTCTGGAATAACATAGCCTCTTTAATTTCTGAAGACAAATACTACTAGATAATTAGAAAACAAACTGCAATAAATGTTCTATGAAATTTATTTAAAACAGTTTGAAAATTATTTTAGCATCACCAAACAAATACAAACTGACAGAACTGTAGAACTTTAGTGCATACATGCACAAACATATATATCTACATATGTATATATATCTATATATATGATATATATGGCTAGTATGCATTAAAAGTGAATCAGCAATCATCATAAGTATGATTAAGAATCCAAAGTAAAAGTAAAAATTTAATGACCAGAATCTTGCTAAAAGAAGAAAAATGTATTCTTAATACTCTTTCATGAAACTTGCTTCCTAAAAAAACCTTGCTGAACAGTGCAACAGTTCAAATAGAAGCTGTCTTCCGATAAAATAATAGATCAATTGATTTTATAATTTTCCATGTATTCAAGATCTGAAAAACATTCTTTATTTACAAAAAATCCTTATTGGAAAAATTATAGAAATATTTAAATAAAGTAGAGCTGGTGAGCCCAAACTAAAATACTTCTGTTAGGAGCTCATTTTTTGTCTTACACATACAGTGTCCATCAAGTTAATAGTAGAAATGGAAGAAATGTAGAATAGTAGAAATGGAATAGTAGAAAGTAGAAATGGAAGCAAAAATTAAGCTTAATTAGCCCAATTTGTGGAACTATGGATAAGATAGATATTAGGCCTTCAATTTCCTATGACAGTTTTCGCTAGAAAGCACCCTCAAAAACCAAAACATCTAAAATTCAGACTCAGTCTCTGAATGTGAATAAACCCAGCAATACATCATTCAATTCAGAGACTTTAACAAAAGAATATTATTCAAAAGATAAAAGAATTCTAACCTGCATATAGCATTCCTGTGTAACAAAGCCTGATCCAGCTACATCAACAGACTTGAAGCTACATAGCAATTTGAGAAGCTGTGCCACAGAAGGCACTGGCCAAGGCTGTGCTGCTGCTAGCAAGAATCTGCGCCAGTCAGTAATCTCTGAGTTCACTGTGAATGCAGATGCCAGATTCTGTAACTATAAAAGCAAAATAATTAATATTGTCAAATATGCATGCATAAACATACTCTTTCTATATACTATGTATCCTTAGGTCTTTTTCCTGGTTAGGATGGACAAGGTTCTGCAGTGAGATTTCAAAGGTGTATAGACATGAATCACAAACAAAACAGGCCACAGACCACAGACTGTCACTGAGGCCAACTGGCATGTCCACTTGATAGCGCTCTAAATAAATACTCTTATTTCCTAAACAGGGGTCTCTATCTAAACTGCCTGATAACAGCCTGGTAACAGCCCTTAGTACATGCTAACCCCTGAACCGTGCTTCATCTGGGAGAGCACTAAGAATTGAACTAGCAATTTAGCAGCATGACTACAAAATCTAGTAAATGCTTGGGTCTGTGCCTTGGCCCTGTTTTGCTTATTCTTACAGGTGTCCACCGTGCGGCTTTTCTCTGTTCCAGCATTATTTTCAGTTAGAAAAAAGTAATGGTCAAAAGGCTGCTTTGCAGCTTGTCTGGGTGGTTTTTTAACCACTGAAGACATTGTATGTGGATAGAAGAAAGGGTTACAGAACACAAATAGGAGAATAGATGTAAAATCTCCTGATACAACATTGCTAAGGCTGTATCTGATAGAGTGAACAAAATTGGCACAGTTCATTTCAGCACTACTGGTGTTGTGAGACCCTACTATGTACCTCTACACTATTTTCTGTCCCACACCAAGATTTCCTTGTCAAGGGAAGTGTCTGGTTGCTTCAGACTAGAGTTTGAGAAGGAAGCAATGTGTTTACAGGAATAAGGGCCTGAGGCAACTCAGTGAGTCAATTTGGTAATGTTGTAGATGTCATCTGCCCTAATATTGGCAGGTACAGTACAGCTTATTACAATTTGAAAACTTACTTGAAATTCTATTAAGTCACACAATGATGAAATGGTGAGTTCAGTTCAGAATAGTTTGTGCAGAATAAATGTATACCTTATCTCATGCTTCATGCATTTCCTTTTACGTGTAAGTTCTTACTTTCACTATAAATTTAAAAGTCTCATTTTAAAATGGTTCTTTTAAGGAAAGGAAATTCTGTTATTAAAATAAAAATAGTATTTACAAGAACTAAAAGCTTTCAGATAATAAAGAACATGGGATATGTGCACATGTGGTCTATTAATAAAAAATGTTTCACTCAGTTTTCCTGTGCTAAGATTAGATTTTTATACTGATGATGACAGCTATGTCTAGTTTTCACTGAATTCAGTGGAAATCCAACATTCCGAACCCTTAGAATGGTTTACTCATGCAGTTCATCTGTGTAAAGAATACTTGAATAAAGCTGTTTCCCTTATGTAAAATCCAATTAAAATTTTAATGTGAAACATGGCTTACTGTCAGAAATAAGTATCAAAATATGCTAAAAAAATTAAATCTTGGATAAATAAATTAAAGGACATACAGCTTCAGATTTTATTCTCCTGTCTTGGAATGAAGAACATGAACAGTCTTATTTTAAGTCCTGGAAATAAATTTTCAGTGGTGTCTAAGGAATCGATATAATTTGAAAATTGTAAATAAATAGAGTGCTGACAAAAGCATTTTATTTCTGGAACAGTAGCTTCCAAACTCTTTAGTGAAACAGAAGAATTGAAAGGAAAAACTGATAATGCCCTATACTCTTTTTATCATAGTAAGGACAATGCTGCATCTTCTACCCAAACCAATACTTCAATTGAAATCAAAATGGGTTAACTTACATCTGGAAGCATTAAATTCATCCATGCATCAGGAAGACAATTTGTTCCAAGATTCAAATTAATCAAGTCAATAAAAATGTCAATAAATACTTTCCTTTTTATAAAACCTAATAAAAGAAAGCCAATATATTAAAAAACTACATTTACCATTTTAAATAGACTTTTGTTAAAGGAAATCTATTTTTTTATTTTAATGGCTATGGGAAAATTATTTATTTTACTATTCATAGTGGTAATATCTTTCAAGCCACACATAAAATTTTTCTCGTTTAAAATAAATAATGTGTGGCCTGTCTAATAGCAAAATGTCAAATATCCCAATACATTGCAATTCTCTTGATACTTGTCCTGATCTGCATTGTGATCACCAATCCATCGTCCATTGAGCAGTTCACAAATACTGATCACACACATATTCTCTGTATTGAATACCTACCAACCTTTACTTTCACTGTGCTCTCTTTTAATCAATCAAAAATCTATCCATACTTTTGAAAGCAAGCATGTTAGAGAATAGCATGGAAAATGCATACAGTTGTCTGTTGAAATCTGAAACAAAATTGAATTGCTTAAAAAGCTTCTCAGAATTTGCTTGTGGGAGTTATAAATAGCTCTGTTATTTTTATTTTAAAGAAATCATAAGATAAAAAATAAGTGCAACAAAACCTACTTGTTTTTTTAAAATAGGCATGGATTTGCTTATAAGCAATTAGAAAATTCAAAGTTCATGCACAGTATTAAAACACAAAATGATGTATACCAAACTTTGACAGATATGAGTCTTTTTTTTGAAATGGACTTTGCTGCCTCAGTGAGGATTCACTGTGAAACCTTTACAGTAACAACAAAAATTGTAAAATAAGTTTCAAATTACCTAAATTTTGAGAGCCAAAACTGATTTTGTCAAGTTATGATCACTTCCATAGCATCACACCAGTTGGTTTTCAGATTAGCTTTAGAAGCAAACACAATCAGTGAAATACTGGAAGGACTAATTTTTTTTCCTTTTTACAGCCAAACATCTTGACTTTTTGAAAAGGCACAGCTGTGCATATTCTGTGGCTATTAAACTTTTTTCTTCAAAGGGGAACAGTGTAGTGAAATTTGTTAAATTTCTGAGAAAGACTTGTGGTAGGAATTTTAAGAATGTGTTTGAGTAATAGTATGTCAATATTCAAAATCAAGTTGCCAATTTGAAATAATAGTGTATAATCTCTGTAGACCTGTTTGCGTCCCATCCAGAAAAACAGGAGTAATTCCCTCAGCATATCTTAATATAGCAGAGAAATCCTATACATATACAAGCTTGGAGAGAAGAGGAAAAAAATAGATTTGGGAAGACAGGAAGAAGGAAGGGAATTTGAAACCTTATGTCTGACCATAAATTTCAGCATGAAAGCGAAAGCTGGGAAAAATACCGGCAGACTGATAACAGGGCTCTGATGTCAGCTCCTGAAGGTTTTTGAGTTATCTACTTTGATAAAGAACATCTTTTAAAAATCATGTGTTATGCTGTTTACTGAAGCATCTTGGATTGCTGATCGAATAATTTTAATGTAACTAGAAGCTTGTATTTTGACAAGAACTTCAAGCCACAAGAATGAGATTATTTTCATATGGCACAATAAGGCTTACATCACAGAAGTAATACTGGGAGACTTCATAGAAGATTCAATAAACCAGGTAACTTTTTAGTGGTTCATGGGAGAATAGGCTACATTTCACTAAGGAGCCAGTGAAAACTTTATATTAAAATAACAGGAAAAAATTTTACAACTTATTTGCAGTCTCAAATTGTCTAGTGCTTTACCATGAAAAGCCGAGCTATCATAATTTTTATTTCATGTTTTACTAAACATTTCCCTTTCCACATCTGATCCCTAGTACTCTGGTAATCTAACTTCTTTGTCTCACATTATCTTATGGTTTAAACTGTTCAATTCCTACTACCATTTCCCTATATGACAATAAAAAATACTGTTTCTGTATTTCTTACGAGTTTCTGGCTTCCTAAAACAAAAAAGAGTTTTGTTTTTGTGCAGAAAATTCTAAAAGGATAATCATGTCAGTATCCTTTAAAATCAGGTCGTACCTCAATTCCTGTGTTCAGTTTTGGGCCCCTCACTACAAAAAGGACATTGAATGACTCGAGCATGTCCAGAGAAGGCCAATGGAGCTGGTGCAGGGTCTGGAGCATAGGTCATACAGAGCGGCTGAGGGAACTGGGGAGGTTTAGTCTGGAGAAGAGGAGGCTGAGGGGAGACTTCATGGCCCTCTACAGCTCCCTGACAGGAGGGTGCAGAGAGCTGGGGATGAGTCTTTTTAACCAATGAACAAGCAATAGGACAAGAGGTAATGGCCTCAAGTTGCACCAGGGAAGGTTTAGACTGGCTCTCAGGAAGCATTTCTTTCCAGAAGGGGTTGTTGGGCGTTGGAATGGGCTGCCCAGGGAGGTGGTGGTGTCCCCATCCCTGGAGGTGTTTAAGAGTCATGCTGTCATAGCACTGAGGGATCTGGTGTAGTTGGGAACTGTCAGTGTGAGGTTAATGGCTGGACTAGATGATCTTCAAGGCTTTTTCCAACCTAGATGATTCTGTCATATCCTCATGTCACATTTTTTGAGGCTACATGACTTCAGAAACATACTTAAAAAATATTTGAGGGGCAAGGAAATTAAAAAACTGGAATTGTTAATCATAATTTATAGAACTTTGATTAGATTACAGAACATACTACAACATAGTTTTCAGGTAATTTGATATTAGCTGGTGTAAGCATATGGCAAACATGAGTTATTGTGAGATATTTAAGCACTGTCAGGTGATCTGCAGTGTCTACCCATTTTTCTTCCTCTGTGGTAAATGCGAATAAAACCACCCTCTCTTTAATTCACAACTAAACTACTTTCTATGTGTTAATTATAGCATTGCTGATGTGCTATAGGGTAATTTACTTTATTACCTCCTCCTAAAACATCCAATGCAGGACAATTCCAAAGTGTCCTCAAAGTTATAATAGTTCATAAACTTCAAATGGAGTGTGACCTAATTCCTCCTCATGACATACGTAGGATAAATGAGGAAGTCTCAGAGAGAGGGAGGAAATCCCTCACAAACATATAGAAAATGTATCAAATAATTTTCCTCAATGTATTTTTAGTTATTTTGTCTAGATCTAATGTGGTTTGGGTTTGGTTTTTTTGGGTTTGTTTTTTTTTTTTTACATTATAGAACATGGAACTGGTTTTGAATATCTGATTATATTACAAGAAAAAATGTAATTCACCAATTTAATTGAGGGTTGCCAATGCTTTATAATCATGGAGAGATGCTATGAGTGGGCAGCTACACAGATGGTGCTGAGAAAAGGATACCAGTGGCTGCAAATGGTACTCTGCAAGTGGTAGAAGGAAATAATGTCCTCTGGGAAAGAATGGGAAAACAATTCCCAGAGTCGGCTTTGTCCACCTAACAAGACTGGTTTCAAAACAGGTATGTTCTTTACATAATCTTTTTTTTTAAGTCAAAAAAAAAAAAAAAAAAGGAAAAAATAAAAGAAACCAAACCCAACAGGTTTTTGCTGAATGATGTAGGACACTGAACAGAAAATGAACTTATTAAATGTCTAGAAACACTTTTAATTAGGAGGGATAACAAGCATTTTGGAAAAAGAATCAGATTTCTAAAGGATGTAGAAAAACTGGTGATATGGTCAAGATCAGTAAGTAAATTTCAGTGGAAACAGATCAAAGTACTTTAAGGAAACAGACTGCACAAATTAATACACATTACATTGCAGATAAAACCAATCAGGAAAGGACTTCAAGCACACCAGAGAACAGGATTAGAATTTAAAGTAAACTTCACAAATCTGAGATATAGTCTAGGATAAGAAGGACACTATCCAGTAAGAATAAATGTCAAGTGCAACACTGGGCTGAAATAATAAACTGCATAAATGTCACAATGGGAATCTTACTGCCAAAGTAAAATTTTTGTAGAAAGTCTCTAGAGATTATGGTAGATTACAGTATCACCAGAAAGTACGTGGGAAGACACTGGAAATAATCCTTGCATTCTTTTCAGTTGTTTTGGCTTCTGCTGGTGTACAATTTTGGAATTTGCCGATCTAGAAGGATGTAAGGAAACTGAAGAGTGCCCAGAAGAAAGTAGCAAGAATCATCACAGCGTTAGAAAACATGTCTTGAGAGGCAAGGTTGAAGGAATTGTGCTAGTTTCATCTACAAAAGGAAGATTATGAAAAAACATAGCAGTAGTTTTCCAGTTAAAACCAAACATTACAAAAAGGATGGGGATAACTCCCTCTTCCATAAGTGCATTTAGGAAGAATCATAGGAAATAAAATTTGTTTGCAGTAAAACCAATTCAGATAGTAGTAAAAAACCCAGAAGGAAAGCAAACTACACATTCTACAGTAGACTTTCAACAGTTTATCAAAAAAGAACGAGGGTTAAATACCGGATACAGATTGTCTGACTAAACTTGATCCCATTTTTAGACATGGATGACTTCTTGATATCCCTTTCCAACTACTTGTTACAACAGTCATATTTTCCTAGTATTTTTCCAAGGGCAGTGTATCCACTATTTTCAATCCTAATACTAAAAATGTGATGCTGCCCACCTTGTATCATGGAAGTGGCTTCCATGTTACAGATTCTAAACACATTTTTGTTCATTACTTTGGTTTTTGCCTTCTGCTGTTGGACATTCTGGGGATACATTTTCAAACTTTTTCTAACCCCGTCATAGTTAAAATGTCCTATTTGAAAACTTTGAGGGGAAAAACTTTGAATAATGTGACCTAAGAGAAAATCCTTAGAATTGGCAATGCCACTTATAAGGTATCCTGCAAAATATATATATCCTTTAGCTTATTAGGTAAAGTATAGGTAAACTCTTTTATTATCTGAGAAATCACACAAGTGAAGATATTTCAATGATGGATCTTTTATAATCAACGATATAATGCATAGTGCTGATCTCTTTTTCTGATCCTTACAGATTAACTACTTGACTGGACTAACATTCTTTAATGAGGCATGCATTCAAAGCCTACTCTATTTCTGACATAATATTTAGACCTTGAAGTAGCATGAATATATATGCAAGACATACCAAAAAAAAGACTGTATGTGTGTGTGCATGTATAGAATATATCTTCCTCAATTACTAGACATATTTTATATTGAAAGTAGAGATTTGATACTGATTTGGAAAAAGTTTGATTTAAAGGTGAATGACCTTACATTAATTTCTCCCAAATTCCTTCTAATTAATATTCATCACTGTTAGAAGAAGCAGGGTCATTAATGATTTCACTTCAGCTATCTTTTGATACAAATTGTTTCTTTTTCCTTGATGGTCAAAATACATTCTGCTGGTATATTTACCTTGATTGGAAATTATCAAGTAGAAAGTTACATTTAGATCATGTAGAGCTATGAAATTATGAAATCAGGTACTTCGCTGAACAATTCTCATTCTCAGCTCCTAGATTAAAAATCAAGATACAGCATCCTATTGCAGCCCTCACAAACATTTTTACTGGGAAAAAGGTCATTCAAGATGTGAAGTGTATTAGTCATATCCTGGCTGTAAGAGTATTTGCTATTGGAAAACTGATTCATGTTCTGTCTCTGTAGGAAAGTCTTCTGAAGGACAAGTCTGACAAAAATCTGTGAAAGGTCATGCTAAACCTTATCCACAAGAGAATAAAAAGTAGCAACATGTACAGATATGTAGAGAATGTATGACCCCAAATTCGTAGGCTAAAGAGGTCAAGGAATCACTCAAGAGAAATAATATTCTGATTTTCCACACATTTATCAAAAGAAAATCAGAGTTTTCAAAATCAATGAAACTTCCTGAACAATGAAAAACTGATAGTAAGACGATAGTTAACTCTGGCGGTTATAATGTATTATTGTAACTCAGCTAAATGCAACAAACAATCAGACTGAAGTCAAGACATCCCTCTGTCCACATGTTGCCAAGGTAACAATTACTCTACTATTTTTGGACATTGTCTTCAAATTTCTAGAAGTCAGGTATAAAAGGGCAAATGTAAACATCTACAGATTGCCACATTTGTAAACATTACAGATTGGAAATTGGCCAATATGACGGCCATCTATAAGAAGGGTTGGAAGTATGATCCAGGAAATTACAGGTCTGTCAGCTTGACTTCAGTGCCCAGGAAGCCGATGGAGCAGCTCATCCTGAGTACCATCACACAACATGTGTGGCACAACCAGACGCTCAGGCCCAGTCAGCATGGGTTCATGAAAAGCAAGTCCTGCCTGACAAACCTGATCTCCTTCTACATCAGGGTGACCTACTTGTTGAATGAGGGAAAGGCTGTGGATGTTGTCTACCTTGACTTCAGTAAGGCCTTTGACACCGTTTCCCACAGCATTCTCCTGGAGAAACTGGCTGCTCACAGCTTGGATGGGCACAGGCTTTGCTGGGTAAAAAACTGTCTGTATGCCGGGCCCAAAGGGTTGTGGTGAACGGAGTTAAATCCAGCTGGTGGCCGGTCACGAGTGGTGTCCCCCAGGGCTGGGTGTTGGGGCGACTCCTGTTTAACATCTTTACTGATGATCTAGACGAGGGGATCGAGTTGCACCCTCAGTCAGTTTGCAGAGGACACCCAGTTGGGTGGGAGTGTTGATCTGCTCGAGGGCAGGGAGGCTCTGCAGAGAGACCTGGACAGGCTGGAGCCATGGGCTGAGGCCAACTGGGGGAGTTTCACTAAGGGCAAATGCCGGGGGCTGCCCTTGGGCCACAACAACCCCCAGCAGCGCTACAGGCTTGGGGAGGAGTGGCTGGAGGCTGCCAGTCAGAGAGGGACCTGGGGGGTGATTGACAGCCGGCTGAATATGAGCCAGCAGTGTGCCCAGGGGGTCAAGAAAGCCAATGGCATCCTGGCTTGTGTCAGCACCAGCGTGGCCAGCAGGGACAGGGAAGGGATCTGACCCCTGTACTCGGCACTGGTGAGACTGCACCTCGATTCCTGTGTTCAGTTTTGGGCCCCTCACTACAAAAAGGACATTGAATGACTCGAGCATGTCCAGAGAAGGGCAAAAGAGCTGGTGCAGGCTCTGGAGCACAGGTCGTATGGGGAGCGGCTGAGGGAACTGGGGGGGTTTAGTCTGGAGAAGAGGAGGCTGAGGGGAGACCTCATCTCCCTCTACAGCTCCCTGAAAGGAGGGTGCAGAGAGCTGGGGATGAGTCTCTTTAACCAAGTAACAAGCAATAAGACAAGAGGGAATGGCCTCAAGTTGTGCCAGGGAAAGATTAGACTGGGTGTTAGGAAGCATTTCTTTACAGAAGGGGTTGTTGGGCGTTGGAATGGGCTGCCCAGGGCAGTGGTGGAGTTCCCATCCCTAGAGAGGTTGAGGAGTCGGGTTGACATAGCACTGAGGGATCTGGTGTAGCTGGGAACTGTCAGTATTAGGTTAATGGCTGGACTGGGTGACCTCCAAGGTCTTGTCCAACCTAGATGATTCTATGATTATGTGATCTACTGATGACTCTGATAAAGAAAAGCCACATTTTAACATTATAATACATTATGGAAAAATATATAAATTTTACATTCATTAACTCTGCATGGCATTCTGCCCATGGATGTTGCAAGAAGATTTTGAAACAAAAACTAATAACTTTCATCTAGTCAATTCCGCAGAGACTCTCCAAATCAAACTCAGAGTAGTAATCTGGTCTTTCATTTGTCATTGTATCACCTCTGTGAAGTCTTCTGTTTTTCTGACAAGTAGCATTCCACAAATCAATAGCTTTCTGGGGGTGAAATTTTTTGATATCTGGAGAGTTCATTTGAATTATCGTAAGATCCATCACACTTTCAGATCTTAGTTTAGAGTGCAAATGCATCATGGTGAATTTCATCTGACTGAAGCCTTGCTCTGTTTCAGCTGAGCTTGCCGGCAGAGTTAGGATCAAATCTACCAATGTCAGGATGTTGGGATACTTCTTTGAATAATCTGAATTCACTGAATCCCATATCAAGGTCTGGATGTTCTGAAATCTAAAAAGCACGGTAAAAAGCATAATTATAACTATCACTAAATGTATTTTGATAATCCTTTTGAATATATCAATAAACAGACACAAATGCAATTTTATTACCTTTTATAAAGCTCTAATTTCAACATGCTCCATTCAGTTTCTACTTCACCTATTTTCACACTAGCAGCTTCTAGTATTACTTCATAATGCTTAGTCAAGACAGACACTTCCTTTTCACCAAATTCTATAACAGAGGCAAATGAAAAATATTTTTATGCTTTTAAAACCTTTAGAAGTTGTACTTCAAATAGCCACTATCAAGTTCTATACCTTGTTTCATTTTCTCAGGCCATAGCTTAAAACTTCCAATAGTAGTTGCTCTCAAAACATCTTGATTTGCATCACAAAAACAATCACATAGCTTCTTCACCAAATTACTTAATACTTTGGTTCGTACTGATGAAATATCTCCATTTCCAACAAGCAGGTAACCGTGAAAGTGCTGAATGGTCTCTATCAGGCGTTCCTTTGGACCAGCTCTAAAAGATATAGAATACAGAACAATATATAATACTCTTTTATTATATTCTCAGAAATCATGGTTCATTTGTTAGAAATGCCAGACCTTGTTTGATACATGTGAAGTGTTTCCAGTGTTGACTGCTTGGTTGCAAGTATATCTGCAATGGAGGAGTTGTGATCCAGAGTAACACGTGACAGAATGTTTAGGACATTGATGACATCCAACAAGAAGTGAGAAAACTTGACTATCTCCATTCTAAGAAGCAGACGTAGAAGGCCTTTGACCTTCTGCTGGTTTGAGGCTCTTGAATCTCTTTCAATCTGGAAATCAACACAGAAGAAGAAAGCATCAGGTATGTGGACCAAAATTAGCCATAGCAATTAATTTTTCCTGAAGTTACATCCAAATTTTAAATAATTTACCTTAGTCAGATGTAGCACAGTTGCAGGGTAACCTTTAAGGAGAATTTGTAGGGCTGTTTGTAGACAAGGAAGCCACTGGGAGCCTCCAATGCGAGAAGGAATAGCTGGGTGTAACTCAATGGCTTCATATATGGCTTTGAGATTATTCTTATTTAGAGGTGAGTTATGATAAAAATAATATATATTTCTCAATGCATTGCTTAAGATGTTGTATAGCTGAATATTTTTCAGTGATCCTTTGTAAGCCAGTTTTAGGCGTTGAGCAAAACAATGCACAGACTGTACACAAGGCTGAATTTCCCTCAGAAGTTTAGCTACCCCACTGTTTTCTTCTACCATGACATCTGTCCCACGGCTTCCAAATCCAACTAATTTTCTTGACCAGTCCTGGCTTGCCAGACTGAGCTGAAGATTTATTTGTAATGTTTCCTCAATTGCATTTTTTATAGTTGAAGCATCAGTTTTGTGAACAGGTTGAACCCCAACAATCTGGCAATGGACTTTTCCTTCATTTGCAAAGTGTACATAGACAACTGCAGCTGCTTTGAGTGTACTGTCTGTAATTCCATCACTAATAACAGAAAAGAATTTACATTTCTTCAGTTTCTTTTTCAAAGCTCTTCTTTCTACTTCTGCAATAAAGTGTATAAACATTCTTGTTGACTTGTCATTTCTAAATACAGAACCAATATCCACTCCTTTCATATCATCTAGTTTGCACATCCAGTCAAGGTCTGTAAAGGGACAACCAGATTTAGCAATAGCATGACATGTTCTAAAAATATTTTCTACTCTAGCTAATGTTATGGAGTTCATACTCTTCAACATCTTCTAAGCAGAAGCTGTATCTGGTGAAGCATTACTGGCAGCTTCCATGCAGGTAGCCCAGGCATGAGCTTCACTACTCTGGTGTGTATTTATAAATTCAAGTTTGAAATCATCAGTGCCAGAACAAAAATTATGAATGTTTTCCCCCAAATCCACGTTATGCTTACGACATGGTGAACAAAACATTATTCCCCTTTCATCATCATATTTTAACCAGGAGTATTTTGTTAACCATATTTTTGGAAACTGGCGATTCCTCTTTGTTCTCTGATGTTCCAAATCTTTCTTCTCTTTCCCTCTGTCACCAACTTCTCTCTTGCTAGAAGAATTACTCTTGCTTTTAAATTGCTTCAGTGCTTTTATTGCTATAATTTAAAAAAGAAACAACTAAATATAAAGTAGGTTTTATTTTATAAATTATCAATCGCATGTTTTATTTTTTCATCCACATTTATTTTGTTAATTTAGGACTAGACTGTGACTTGAAATAAACAGCCATAAAAGAGGACAAGAAAAACTGAGATCTGCTCTTAAATCACTTGGATGCTACTCAGGACCCTTGTAAGAAATAGTCAGTTTTGACTCCAATTTCCCTTTGACTACTAGAAGTTAGTCAGAATATGCAACTAGATGCAGCAGCATCAATACCATTTTTGAAAGAGAGAAAAACAGAGTTAGGGAGTGAGATTCTGAATAATCTTTTAGGCAAAACTTCTCCAGAACATTCTACTACTGAAGTCACAAACCTATTACAGTGCCCATTACAGCTGACATTAAAAGAAAAGTTAACTTCGAGCAAGTCTGTAAATACATAAATACATGTCACAGAATGCAGAAGATGTTCTAAGGCATATGTAGCTGCCTGATCTTCTTAAAATACATTTAACTACAGAGTGATTTTATGACTGCTTTTAGAAAAAAGGGACTGTATAAGCTTCACATTTTGCTCTCAAAATGGAAATGGTCTTAAAGCACTGAGATTGCTCTCAATATTATTTTCCCAAATTTTTCTCAAAATGGTCATTCTTTTATTTTCTAAGAGTAAATGTCATAAGCTGACATTTTTGAAAATTCTGTCTCTAAGGCTCATGAATCCCCTACTTTTGGCAAAGAATTTAATGATTCTTTTACTACATCATGACTTTGAAAAGAAAGCAGTCAAATAATGAAGACAAATTCCATGCAGAACTATAAATCTATTCATTGGAAAACAACAGAAGTAAAGCAACAAGGAAATGACCTAAGAACAACCTGACTCCCCACCCTCCTTATTGTGATGCATACATTAAGAGGCAAAATTAATGATTACATTAAGCTAATCACAGAAAGAAATGCCATTTCTGGTGCTTTAAAAGGTCTTAAGAAAAAGAGCCCTTTAGTCTACTCTTTTCTATTTTACAAGAAGGGGTAGATTTTCATATATGCATTATACAATTTGTGAGAACTGCTTGTTCCCATTGTCATAAAAATGATAGTTTGTCTGCTTCATTCTATTCTGAGCATTCTGAAAGGCCATAATATTAAAAAATGTTAGGAACATGCACTTTAAATACATTTCCATTATGAGTCATTCTTTTAAATAACTTTAAATCTGAAGTAGCAGCTGTGGTCCACATGGACAGCTAAACCAGCTAGATCACAGAAGCTTTTTCTGACATGTGCCCAAGTACCATATCCAGGACCAAAAAGAGAGGAGCATTCTTAAAAGACATTAAATATTAAAAACCTTCCCTGACAGTAGAAAGGCACAAAACCACAAGAAAATGTGAAATAGAGATGGGGAGCAGGAATAATGGATCTGTAACTGCAGAAGTCAGTGGGTGGAGAGGACAAAACCATTGTAGAACTTCTATAATGCCTACTGCTTCTTGAGGTGTATGGGCGCCTGTAGAAATCTGTTGTTGATTAGAAAAATGGGAATCAGAGTAGATTCTTTAGGCCACTGTCAGAGATAACATTCCCTGTATGATTGACCTTCAATGTTACCAATGCTTTTCAAGTTTTGAATTTTTTAATTTCAAAACACAACGGTTTAAACTCTTAGAAATATATGTTTGGGACATCATGTGTTTATAAGTGATTGGCTGTATGTGTCTTTAGAAAGACACATATATGCTACAGTGTGTTAGAACAGTAAATCTACAGCTGAGAGGTACAGATTATCAGATCAGCTCTATAATCCATCTAAAGTATGATTATATTCATTACAAGTCCTCCCTCTAGTATATTCTTACCGTGCTTACCTAAGAAAATGAAGGTTATGCAGTTGTGTTGCCTATATATCTCTACACCAATTTGTCTGTCTGCCAGTTCTCCCTCACTAATAATTTTAGAATGGCCAATTTGAACCAAGTTTATCAGTAGGGCAGAGTTATGAAGGTCCTATAAATGTCTTTCAAATATCATCTGAGGTACAGGACAAAGATCCTCGTAACACTCCCACTGAGGAAAAAAGCAGGGAGATGACCAGCTTTTATCCACTCTGTGGCCAAGAGGCATGAGTCAGTCTAAACTTGATTCCAGACCACACACAGCATCTAGTGCATCCTAGCCATAGCTGTGCAAGCAAAACATGTAGGTAAGATGACATGAAAGAAAGACAGTAGTAGTTGTTTTTTGGTTTTTTTTTGTTTTTTTTTAAATGAAGCTAATACACATGGAAAGGAACAGGAGATGGAGTAGCAGGAGGAAACTGGGAACATGGAAGAAGATGGGATTTGTTGCAGTGGGACTATGGAAAGAACACAGGATACAAAAGGAAGCTATCCTGTACTACTTATGAAGCAACCTCTTTTCACATAAAAGTTTCTCATCAACGAAATCAAAAGGAAAATTAAAAGCTACACAAAGTAGAACTATTTTTCATTAAAATATTTTTTAGAAGTATCATTCACTAATACACAAAGTGACAACCATTTATATATGTTTCAATAAGTAGTGCAGAAACAAAATAAACAAATGCAAAAAATTGATTAGTGAACAATTTAAGATTATGACCACAACTGAAACTGAAAACAGAAAAATAAACATTCAAAAAGGAGCATTAAGAATGACAGCAGCATGCGTACACTAGATGTGCATATTCTGTGAACCAGAACCATGACATTTTAAAGAGACGTAAGAAATAGAGCAACCACCATGCCTCAGTTACAAGGCACAGATATACAGAAGAGACTATTTCTTAATGATACACCAGTCAGCAGAATATTTTCATAGAACCACTGTATAAAAATATTTCCCTAAACTGAGGAACTGTAGTATATTCAGATTATAAATTTATACAGGAAAAAAAAATGTGAATACATTGTAAACCTATACTAGAGATGAGAATTATGTTAACATTTTATTCCATTTTCATCAAATTTTACCAGAACATTTAAATAGATTCCTATTCCCCTCCATTTACTCTGAGAAAAATGTTTCCATAGCAATTTCTGACTAGAAGTTTGGATGATGATCTATGCAAGTTATGCACCAGAGTCTGTAGCAATGCTGTAAGGGCTGAATGAGTGAAATAAACCCTATGAATTACATTAATCTAACTTCATCAGTCTAAAAGCCAGTAATATGGGATACTGTTGTCCTTAGATGACAAAGACAGGAGTCTCAAAACCATGATTAATTCCCTCCAAGATATTTAGATACTCATCACCCCCTGCAAGTAATTTTCATTGTAAATATTTACTTCATTTATTCACCAATTATTACTGATTCTGCTATGATATATGTCCAATCTTCACTCATTAGCAAGAATTGGGATTTTAAATTTAGAATCACAGAGATTAAGGTATGCCTGTTGCTGCACAGATTCAATGAAGAGAAAGGAGAATTCCTCTGATTGAAATCTTAATACTTGGATATATAGACTCAAATACACAGAAATATATACAAACATGTTAAATATGTTTCATGAAAGTAATTGGATACATAGATTTTTAAACACCATAGGCAAACAGTCAAAGACTTCTGAAATTAAATAACATACATGATTTAGTAGGAAACATAACAGGAGGTGTAAGTGAAACTAAGTCAGTAGAATTACTAAGTTTTCCATTATCTGTAGGGAGAGGTATTGTACCTATTAAGGTTTTTACATCCCAGAAGTTTAGGTATTTTCTATCTGTGTCATTTGTCTAGTAGATGATACTTCCTCTGTCTACAAACTTAACCTTTCTTATTTTCAAGTTTTGAAAAAAGCACATTGGAAAGAAATATAGTCTTAGAAAACATAAGTTAGAGATGACAAACTTACTTCTATGCTCACATATGGACTTTGCTATTCACATCAAAGTCACATCATTACTATTGTAATTACTATGTATTACTATTGTAAGCTTTTGAATTGTTTCTACAAAACTGCTTGGGAAGAAAAATCATAATTTATAGACATTATTTAGGGTCAGCATATAATTCTGACTGTTCCAATCAACAAAATATTCGATTAGAAAGGTAAAATTTCATATGAACTAGATGCATACTTTAATATGCCTATCTGTTCCAAACCTAGCAACACAGTAAAACTCAATTGACAAGTCCTCAATTTGAAAAGAAACAGCAATTTGGTCATAGGCTGCCCTCTATATTTTACTGGTTTACATTTTAGCAGACTATTTTACAGTTTTATAAACAAGCATTTTAATCATTTTTTGTATATTGGATATAGAAATTTTTTAAACCTGACTGAAATTTATTTCTGATCAATAATCAGTTCTATAATTCAACTTGAATAGTTTGTGAGGATCAAGACTGTGAAAAACCTAAGCTTTAAGATCCCCTTGTGAAATTCAGTCATAAGATGAACAGATGTCTGGGATAGAATTTGTATCGATCTGTTTGGTAAAGCAGAACATCACCAAAACTGCATTCTCTGAAGCACCTTTAGAAGAAAATTGAGACATTCCAGATGTGTGCTAATGGGATTGACAATAGACATAGTCATAGGGAGGATACAGTGCTAAAGGGAATCAGGAGGGATGAGATCGCATAGAAGATTAGTTTAATTTTGTTGATAAGAACAGAGCACATCCAAAGAGACTGTAGGAAAGAAAAAAAAAAAAAGTGTTAGTAGCTCCTATTAAGACCTGCCATAGTTCTTCCTATAAAAAAGCAGCATGTTCCTGAGGCAATATATTAAAGCACTGTTAACAAATCGATCAAAGGATTTAGTGAAATTGACAAATACTGCAGAACCACCTTGAGTTTGGGCAATGGCACTTGAAATAATAATAATAATAAAAAAAAAAATTAAGTATTTTCTTATCAAATGAAAGACTGTCAGGAGGTAGCAAGGTCCAAGCGTAGGCTGTATGTTTTGTCCATCGGTGCTTAGAATGGTGAGTAATGTGCTTCCATGGAGAACCAAGTGTGCAGGATAGAACAAAGCTGTCGGTGATGAATCGGCAATCCTTTAATACTTTAAATTCCTAGGAAACACAGAACTGTTTACAATCTGTATAAGATTCCTTTTGTAAATATAAAACATTTTTTAAGTATATTGGCCCTCCCACTTTTTGCTTTCATTTTGGCAATTTGTTAAACATATCTTGAAAAGATATCCTTTTGACATTTACCAAATATCCTGTGAGAACACTGTTTACTATTTATTTCTTCCAACAAAATAATTTCTCCTTTTACTCTTTCTTTTCTTGGATTTCTAGATAAAATTATTCTTCATGTAATCTCCATAATGCTATAGAAAAGAAGCCTAATACTCCATTTTCAGAACAATATTGGGAATTTTGCTATATACATAGTACAGATATTCTCTTTAGACTTGCCCTATAGTCTATGCCTCATGTGCTCATTTGTGTGGATTTCCATTATGAATACTGTTAGAGGACTGTCCAGGTAAGTAACAATTAGAAAACTAAGATGTTTGGCAGCAAATCTAGATCTGTGTAGAGGTTCTCCAAGACAGGGATTAGTTTGTTACTTTTTTGTCATCTTCTTCAGAGCTGCTGTCCAACATTTTCACTGTCAGGGTGCTGGCTGCCTTAGTGTTTTCCCATCTTTTGTTCAGTAAGAAACTACTGAGGAGGTATATATTTTCTGTTGAACATTCCATTGAACACGGGAAAACAGAAGGATGACAAAAATTGTCCTGATATTTTAGGAGATGAAGGATTTAATTCTTCCTGTGGAATCTCTATAATGAAGGAGAGTGCTTATCTTAGGAAATCTCAGATGTCATTTATGTGGTCTTAGAGTGTGTAAGAGAATAGGAGAAACTATTTTAAAGATGATTTGCACATCTTGTGCTTCCCATCCTAAATCTGCTATCCAAAAAAGTAAATATCTTGACTTAATAGTTGTGACACAGTTAAAGAATGTGGCTGTATGTTCTTTGGGATCTAATTTTAAACAATAATTCTTTACCATTGTTCCATTCACTTTTTTGGATAGTTCTGCAAGTCATCTTGGGTCATTTTAGTGAATATGTTATTATCAAAAGGACAATATTGTAGACAGATAAGATTTAATTTACCTTCTTGTAATTATTATGAATGTACAAGGAAAATAGTTGTTCTGTTTTAAGCATGTAAAGAATATTAGAGTTTGTATTAGACAAAATTTTAGTTTTAAATATCTTAATGAATAAATGATTTAAAAACAAAAGAAAACTTTTGAAGTGGAATGGCCGGTTAAACTGTTATCTGTGTTTCACCACTATGGCACTACCTAATGATTACAAATACGGAGATTTTTAGTTTCATGTAGCATTATATATGAAATACTACTAGATAAATTAATCTCTGTAGAAGAGTTTGGAATGCTTACACACACCCCCACACTCCTACACTGTAGATAAGATGACATGCATCTCTCTAAAGGAAAATTGTAAACATCTTTCTGCCTAAAATGTGTTCATGATCAAAGGGTAATTGGATTTTCTCCATAAATATACACAAAAAGCATTTCTTAATAAAGAATTAAATTCAACTTCATCATGCCTTTGTGGACTTATTAGATTGGGAAAGTTGGATACAAAATTTTAAGTACATGTTCACACATTGTATTTCATGACCTTAATGGCAATCATACCAAAATTTAATTATAATATGGAACACTGGTAGTAATGAAACCCTCCACAAATATATGTTGAAACACTTCCCATCTCAGTTTAAAACTGCCTTACCTAAATTATTTTCTAACATTTATACAGCAGTAGGAAGTTTTGCAAGAAAGTCTTTTCAAGCATCCTAAACCTAAGGTTCCCATAATTAGAGGGTAGGTACACAGCAAATCCACATAGAAAGGAAAAAAAAAACATATCTGAATTAACACTGAAAACAACAGGGACACATTGACTCGAAGAATATAATGGTTAGTAGTTATAATAGGCCCTATACAATAGTTTCAAGAAAATACTGATTTCTTAAAAGATATGTTTTAAAATAATATAACTTCAGTGTTCACTGAGCCATGACAAGTTAAAGACTTGCATCTCTAAACAAAGTAAGCATGGTATGTAGCACTTTCAAAAACACATTACAGAGACACCTGTTACAGGAATATTAAGTACACAGCCTTGAGGATATAACGCCCATAGCAAAGACATTACAAGTTTTCATGTGGTCTGGTTATTTCACATTTTCAATACTCCGCACTATGAGTTTACTTTTATATGTAGCAGGATCTTTAATTGTAGTATGATCTTTAACAATATAGGTAACTAATGTTCAGTAGCTCCCAGAAGTTACTTTAAATTTTAAGTAGGTAACTAACAGTTCTTCAGGAGTGAAAAGAAAAAAAATTTTCTTACCTTTAGGTGCCACCTGTAAAAATTGCTTATGAAGTGTAGTAAGTTGTGAAATAGTTAGAGTACTACTTCCAGAATTGTCTACATGTGGAACATGTGGTAAAGGAACAGGGTCAGGAATCACTTTTACATCACTGTTGATGAAGAAATCTGTTTCTTCTAAAGTCATTTCATATTGGATTTTGCTAGAACTCTCAATATGATGTCGTGCAACTTCAATCAGCTTTTCAACACTGTGACAGTGTAAATGCAGAAAACAAAGCGTACTTTTAATACACAATGTTAATAACTTAGGTTCAAATTTTAATGTATTTACACTTTGAGAGCTTTCCTTAAGTAAGAGTTACAAACCTTCTGTGTGAATTCTGTACTCAGCAAAATCATTATGAAGTGTACTACACCTCTGATAGCAAGAAATCTTTTGACTGTGGTAAGAAATTTATATAAAGGTATATCTAAGCCACAAAAGAGTCCTGATGGAAAATACAAAAGGATGATACTTTATTCCATAAATTTTGTAGGGGTGGAGCATACATGTTCCATCTGTAATCATCTTTAGCCTATTTCAACGTCTTCTCCTCTGTCCCTAAATCCTAGATGTACAAAGCACTTTCTAAAGGAGCATTGTACAGGGGCATGTGAACTCCTGTTTCAAGTGTAATGAGTACAATTTATACAGAAAAACACATCAGCGGTCTATAACATTCAACTGGACATAGGTTTGGCCTGGCACATCAGGTCAAAGGACATGATATCCTATAAATATTGCATCTTTGGTAGCGTTTGGTGTCAAGAGATTAAATAAAACTGGCTGGAAGGCAGAGACTCAGCCTCTGAGTTACTGCCTGGTACAGCCTTCACATCCTACATTCACGTCTCTTGTCTTGGGCTTGCCCTGACATGGATCAACCAGCACTGCCCCAGGTATGCTTCAGAAGTTTGTACAAACCAAAAACATTTTCCAAAAGGCAAAGTGAACCCTTTCTTTTGGAGAGTAATATCCTTTAATGATACAGACACAAGCCATTCTATGCCAGTTGGCCTAAGTGTCGTAGAGTGGTCCCAAGCACATTTTATTTACTAGGGCAGAAAAAATTTGAAGAAGGTTTTTTTTTTAATGGACCCTGAAATAAATTTGAAAAATGTTATACATGGTAGTAATTACAGTAGGTGGAATTTTCCAGGATGTGTAAAGCACAGGAAAGAAAATAACCCCACAGTCCAAAGTGACAGAAGCCACTGAAATGATATAGAGCTTCCTACTAAATGGAATAACTGGTTGTTTGCAGGTGCTCATAAATATGCTAAATCTGTAGTCTAGAAAAACAGAACTGATAATTACCTCTACAGCTGCCAGAAGTACCTTCTAATCATCTAAGAAATTAGTTATTACCATACAGGTATTTAAGTTAAAATTAAATTCCAGTTCATTAAATTAAAGTATTATTTTCTACTTTCTTTTTTTTTCAAATTATTTGATTCTGCATAAATAACTATCTTTACTAGTACAGTCTGGTTTAAAAAAAAGGTTCCCACATAAAACTGGATATATATTACCTGGACATTTCTGCCAAGAACCTGGATCCAAGCCACTTTTCCATATCTTTATAAGCCTCTTCTGCTTTCATCGTTAGCTCTTCAACAAATGCTAAAGCTTTTTCTTTTATAAGTTCTAGTCGAGATTTTGCTGCTACCTCTGTTTAAACAATAATGTCAAAATAATTCTTACAAAATTTGAGGAAATTTCTCAGTCTTAAGCACCTAATGTTAACCTGTTTTTAGGGAGTAAAACATTTAATTTGTCATATTTTTGAAAAAATTATTTTTCAGAATCACCCCCGTTGCACTATTTTACAAAAGCGTGTCTTCTATGAGCATCAGAATTCGCAAGGTAGCAAATACCTTAATAAAACTATTATAGAGGTGCACTAGAGGTAAGTATACAGTGACATCAAACTAAATTAACACTATATATATACAGACCTACCTAGAAGCTTAATGATGCACATGTGAGTACCCTGTTATGGATAAATTTTAAAGAGAATACATCTAAATCATTATGTATGTTAATCAGAATAAAAGTTTGCTTTTCTGGCAAATTTCACTGGTTTTGCCTCAAGCTTCCTGCATATGACTATTTATACCCTAAAACTCAGGTTGCATTAGAGAAGTTTGATTAGTGAACACTAAAAAATAAATAACCTCTACCAAAATTATGCATAGAATACTTACATTTAAGTATTTAAACTTTTAAAAACATTGAGAATGTAATGATTTTTAGTTTTCAGAATAGGAAGAACTGAGAAAAAAAAAAATGTCTCTCACTGAGAGACTAATATTTAAAAAAAAAAGGAGCTAAAAGGACAAGAAATGGGAAGAAAGTAAAAAAGGATGCCAACTGGATGAAAAGTTAGATAAGATAATGCACTGAGACACACATGAAACAGGCATTGAAAGATATTTAAAGCCTTATAAAAGAAGAGTATGAAAAGAGGACCAGTAGTTAGAGATTATTTTTCAATGCTGAAGGCAAATTCAGTATTCAGCTTGATTTTTCTTCATATTTAACCTTCTGTACTGCAGAATCTTTTAAACATTTAATATTATACAGCAATTGGCACAGTGACTTCAAAGTTAAAGACTGTAAAATTATTTACATTATAATCCTTATTCTAGATGCTACTAATTTTTCAAAATACTTAGGTTTAGGGATAAAATTTTCTTGAAGCAATCATTGTAAAAAGATGGACCCTAGAAAATATAAGGCATGCCATTTTAATGTTATTTCTCAGTCACAGTAGAATGCAACTTTGCACACTTTCTGTTTTCAGCAAGAAAGAGTTGACGTTCAAAATTTTAAACGTAGAATAGATCTGGGTCTCACAGAGGATTATTTTATCTGATGGCAAAGTCATAAGAGTAAAGGTTCTAAGCAACTGAAAGTATCTTAGAGGATGCTTTGTGGCTGTCTAGTCACCTTTCCTTAAGACAGTTTAAGACTGCCTTATTTGTGACTTCTCTGCATTTTCCTTGAGTAGCTGCTATCGGTATGTTACAAAGATAAGTGTATGACAATTTTTGTCTCCCTATATTTGCAGAAGCAGGTACTGCACAGTCCACTGATAAAGCTGCTCTCTTAACAGTAGCAGAGTAAAAGGCAAGGCACATTGATGCAACAGAGAAATGGAATATGAAATCATCATAAAAAACTCAGCAACTGTCCACAGCTAGTGACTTTGCTAGTGTTTGTGTATCTGGATAACCAAAACCACAAGCATCCAGTTACCACAGCTGCAAGTGAAACTATAATCCTCAAATGTACGAGCTATGTGCCTGTGCAGTTATGAGATATAGCTCAACATGTTTCGTCTCACATTCTTATCTTGGGGAGGGGGGGGGTGTGTGTTAAATATAAGATGAAAATTAAGCAAATTCAAGAAAATAAAATATGTCAATGAACCACTAAAATTTGTCTTCATATTACTGAGATCAAATAATTAGCATTCCTCTCCTCATTATCCCAAAATATTAGCCTATTTATTCCTAAACTGTTTTTCAATTAAACCATGTTGAAGGTGGTAGGTGTACAAGCATTTGGACCAGTATAGACCTAAAGAAGCGTTATGAATTTTTGTTTTGTTCGTTAACTGCTCTTTGCCCTCTACTTTTCCTAATAAATATAAAAGTTAGCCTACCAAGGGCTTGCCACCTGCTGTCAAACAGAATCTCTAACAGCTAGGTATTATCCTCCATTTAGTAAGAAAGAGGTCTTTTTTCATCTAGCCAAAACCCATCTTCGAAAATAAATTCCAGCCTATTTTCAGTTTGGGACTTCTGTTTTTCAGACATCTACTTTTGACTGAAATTGATCAATTAGCTTGGGAGTTATTGGCTAAGACAGTCAAAGAGACAGAACAACTGAAAAATACATAGTTTTTGGAACAGTCTGTACAGAAAAGAGTCTGGAAGAACAAACAAAATCTGTGTCTTGCTGCTTAAATCCCATGTGGCTTGAGGAAGCGGGAATCAGACAGAAGAGCACCAGTGAAATATAACTGCCAACAAATTCTTTCCCAGATGAAAATGTTTCAAATACTGAATTCAGTTCTGAATACTTCAGTACTGAAGAGTGGCTAACCACCTACGTGAAACTTATTCTCTCATGATGAACACTTGCTTAGTCATGGAAAATTAAATGAAATGAAACAGGAAAGAACAAAAAAGAAGAATAAGAACAACATTTCTATTTTAAATATATTTACCACAAAATCACTGATGAGTACCACCCTAAAAAAAAATCATGATTTCTCCAGACCCTTCTTTCTCTCCCCTCCTTTTTCTTACTTATCCATTTTCCCTAGATTTTCTGGGTAGGTTTGACTATTACACCACCTAAATCAGGAATAACAATCATCCTCAATATAAGTAACCAAATAGTAACATACCCTCATGTTTCAAGGCACTGAAATATTCTTGCTTTATTTTAAGTGACAGTTCTTGTTTCTTTAATTTTTCTGGTGTTATAGGAACTGGATTGACTTCAACCACAGATGCAGTAGAAGGTGGTCCTGCAGGAAAATAGATCTCTCACAGTTTTTGGACTTTGCTGGTAAGTTTGTGTATCCATACATAGGCACTCACAAGGCAGGACATTATTTAAAATGGAAAATGGCACTTTCCATCTTACTTGATGTGACCATTTATGACAACATAGAGGTGGTTAGTTGTGTCTTATGTCAACATAAATATTTAGATTTCTTCAAATGTCATTTACATTTATACTGCATAAAATTACTCCAGCATATATAACTTATTAAAATTGGTTAAATAACATGCTAAAATGTATTTCTGAAGGGAAAATCATGACTGAGTAGGTGTGCCTCTGTTGTGATTCTAAATGGTCAAAATGTCCTCTTTGACCCTAAAATCTACCAATTTATCACAAGGAGCAAACAAATAAATCCCTTTTGAATGAGAACTGTTGCTTCTGAAGCAAATTTGTTTACTAAACTGTAGTAAAAATGCTATGTTAGTAAATATCATTGGTTACCATCAAAGCATTGAAAATAATGCTATTTAAAAATCAGAAGAAAAAAGAGAGCTATGTTATTTCATGTCTTTTTAAACCATTCTGTTAGCTGCTTTTGCAGCTTGTTTTAACTTACATATCTATGAACAAACATTCTAAAGGTATTTTATCATGGTTTTAAAGATTGCATGAAATTCTGCAGTCACAACACTTCTACTCAAAAGTATTACAATATTTGTAACTGCTTTGTCCTAGAAGAGCAGATGGAGCTGGTACAGAAAAAAATATTGACATCTGCATGATACACCAGGTCAGCATAAAGCAAATGGTCAAACCTAGAAGTGATAAAATTACATGTGGCAAATTGTATCGCTCACTTACTAGCCTATAGCTGTATCCCAGGGTATTTTGTAACAGGGGCACTACAGTAACACTGTTTGGCATGAAACCAAACTTCAGTTAGAGATACATCAGTTGATACCTCATCTTGTACCATGAGGAATGCACAGCTGAGTTCTAGTTGCAGATCTGTCACTTTATAGTTTTGTGATTTCATGCAAGTCATCCAGTGCCAGGTCTGAACAAAAATTTACTTCCAAGAGGCAATCCACAAACCCCACCCTAACCACTTAGCATAAAATGGGTGATAGCTGCTGATTTTTTATCACAAATCTTTTCCAGACATCTGAAAATTTGCTAAAAAGTCAGTCACTTTGTGCATAATAAGTATGCAGTTACAGCTTTCTCATTTGGAAATGGAGTACCTGAATTTCAGTCTACCCTCACACCCACAGGACTTGAGCCCCTTTCTTGCTGAGTAGAAAAGATCTGAAGTTTACACAAAAGATCTGAAGTTTAGGCTACTAGCCTTGCTTCCTGCTGCAGCTACAACATTTTGCAGAAAGAAGTGGAAGTTACTTAAACCACTACCTGCTCAAGGAAGTATTTATGAAAAAATATATAAAAAGCATTGCATGCCAGAATTCCTTCCAGCAGACTGGTTGAATTGCTAGGCTAAACAGATAGAGGATTTTAGATCTGTTTCTCTTTTGCAAATAAATTTTGTATTCTCACCTGGTTGGACAGATTCTTGCCAGGCCTGTGAGCAAGATCTATCTCAATGGGAGTCTGCTCTTTTTTAGGACTACATATGCCATTAAATTTTATGTTCTTTGTTTATACCATGTTACAGTTATAGATAAAAACGATGGACCTTGATAGATACGTGCTACTATATGGCTGATAAATTCATTCCAAAATACGTTGCAGTATTGGATGATTTATCAATTTTATTCCAGTACTTTCATTTTATATATGGAATATTTTAACTTATGGCCGGAAAGTAGGCAGAATTGAATTTTATTTAATTTTATAAACTAGTTCAAACTATTCAATTCCAAAACAGCACATGGAGAAAAATTAATATTTACTTTCTAAGTTCTATTTAGAACATTTATTCCTGCATAATAGTAATGGCAACACATACGATTAAATAAATGCAGTTGCCATTCAAAAGCCTTTGCACTCCTTTATCACTACCAGATTTTCACATTGATATGTCACATTCGACATTTCAAAAGAGAAATTAAATCCAAATTAAATGTCTTGGCTTACTCATTTCTGTATTACAGACATATTTATATTTCAGTAATTTCAAGCACAGCTGAAACAAAGTCTGCATTTCAAATACCTTTCTTTTTGGTAGCTGATTTAGGAGAAAGCTTTTTGGCATCTTTGGTATCTTTCCCAGTAGCTTTGCCTGACAGTGTCTGTGAAGATTTCATATCTTCTTTCAGTTCTAGCTGCTGACGTTCATTTTCTTCCTCCATTTCTTTAGACTCTATTTCAGCTGTTACCTTGACACCATAGTCATACATAGTAAAGCACATAGTATCAACCCTGTGCAACTACTTTTCTTAATAGTCTATATTTGCTGAAAGCATTTGCTGAGACATACACATGTAAATAAAACAAATGAGATATTGTAATTATTTAAATTTATTACATTTTGATTATTTATCAAAAATAAAATTCTACAGAAAAAATGCAAGAAAGAGTGACAGTGGTTTCAATTCTTGTAACCTATTACATGTACTCTAGGAGCAACTAAGAAATGTAAGAATTAACAGTCTGCAAAGCAAGACTATAGTTACACTTTAAGGGTGCAGAAATTCATTTACTATAAAATGATCAAAGAGAAAAGAAAAAGCGGACCTAGAAACCATCCATTTGAAATGCCCACCTAATTCATTATTAGCTAGAAGAATGTAACCATAGCTTCTGAAGCTGTGAAAGGTATGAGCAAACAGTGCACAACAGGATAAAATTTGTCCCTTTTCTCATGCTTCTGCTGAGGGATAAGGGAAGAGTCTATCATGGAAGAAGTAGATTATATAAAGAGTCAACATTCAAAATATTTCTCTTAGTAATGTAATGAAAGTATCAGGTATAAACACATATTCCAACATTTTCCTCATAGAAACACAAACGCATTCAATGACAGTATCAGTGGTGGAGCAAGACACATGAAATTGAGATAAACAGTGCAAAGGCTGTGTGTTTAGGCTGCCTACTGAAAGGGAGGCTCTGACTGTCCGATTCAGATAGGTTTAAGTAAATAAAACATTTCTTACCATATTTGATACTGCTGTTACTGCTGCTTGCCATGTATCAGTGATAAGATTTTCATCTTTCCTAAAAGTGGCAACTTCGTTTTCAGAATTCTCATCTTTAGCACTCTTCTGTGGAGTTCCCTTGATTTTTGACTTGGAAATATTTATTTCTAGCGAAGGCAGTTTCCAAGAAACTAGAGGAATCCTTAAAAAGAAAAATATAAGGCACAATTCACCACCCCTTTATAAAAAGTGTTACTTTATAACTACATTGGAGAATATGCTGAGAATGTGAAAGCTATTTTCAAAATTTACCATAGCAACAGAAAATGGATGAGCTTTCCTCGTGACCAAAAGTAGAGAAATGTGTAGATCACAAGAAAACTGTCTAGTTTAACTACAGAAGCTAAGGAATAATAGATGGCTAAACTATGTCAAGTGACTACATGATCTGCTGATATTTTCCACATGGGCTAAAGGCATGGCCTCATTACTCAGTTTCTAAATGAACTGTAAGTATTTTTTAGAAGTAGATGTCATTATTGACAGCATTTTTGATATTATGAAATTATTTTATAGCATCCCATACCTTTTAATATGGCATTCAGTTCTCTTCATCTTTGTAGACTGCTTTCACAGAATCAAAGAATCATCAAGGTTGGAAAAGACCATGAAGATCATCTGTTCCAAGCATTAACCTAACACTGACAGTTCCCAACTACACCAGATCCCTCAGCACTATGTCAACCCGACTCCTCAACCTCTCCAGGGATGGGGACTCCACCACTGCCCTGGGCAGCCCATTCCAACACCCAACAACCCCTTCTGGAAAGAAATGCTTCCTGATAGCCAGTCTAAACCTTCCCTGGTGCAACTTGAGGCCATTACCTCTTGTCCTATCACTTGTTCCTTGGTTAGACTCATCCCCAGCTCTCTGCACCCTCCTTTCAGGTAGCTGTAGAAGGTGATGAGGTCTCCCCTCAGCCTCCTCCAGACTAAACCCCCCCCAGTTCCCTCAGCCACTCCTTGCTACCTGTACTCCAGACCCTGCACCATCTCTGTTGCCCTTCTCTGGACACGCTCCAGTCATTCAATGTCCTTTTTGTAGTGAGAGGCCCAAAACTGAACACAGGAATCGAGGGGCGGCCTCACCAGTGCTGAGTACAGGGGTCAGATCCCTTCCCTGTCCCTGCTGGCCACGCTATTGCTGACACAAGCCAGGATGCCATTGGCCTTCTTGGCCACCTGGGCACACTGCTGGCTCCTGTTCAGCCGGCTGTCAATCACCCCCCAGGTCCCTCTCTGACTGGCAGCTCTCCAGCCACTCCTCCCCAAGCCTGTAGCGCTGCTGGGGGTTGTTGTGGCCCAAGGGCAGCCCCCAGCATTTGCCCTTAGTGAAACTCCTCCAGTTGGGCTCAGCCCATGGCTCCAGCCCGTCCAGGTCTCTCTGCAGAGCCTCCCTACCCTCGAGCAGATCAACACTCCCACCCAACTTGGGGTCATCTGCAAACTGACTGAGGGTGCACTTGATCCCCTCGTCTAGATCATCAATAAAGATGTTAAACAGGAGTGGCCCCAACACTCAGCCCTGGGGGACACCACTCATGTTCGGCCGCCAGATGGATTTAGCTCCGAGAATGCTGTGGGAAACAGTGTCAAAGACCTTACTGAAGTCAAGGTAGACAATATCTACAGCCTTTCCCTCATCCAACAAGCAGGTCACCCTGATGTAGAAGGAGATCATGTTTGTCAGGCAGGATCTGCCTTTCACAAACCCATGCTGACTGGGCCTGAGCATCTGGTTGTCCTGCACGTGTTGTGTGATGGTACTCAGGATGAGCTGCTCCATCAGCTTCCTGGACACCAAAGTCAAGCTGACAGGCCTGTTGTAACCCATTTAATTATGTTTGTTGGTGCTTATTTAAAACCCATTTATGTTCCACAATAATATTTAACTTAGTTATGTGAGGGTTATGCTGAAAACTGTCAGCAACACAAAGGGAAGTAGGAAACACTTCTACAGCAGATTTCTTTCTAAGGCAGCATTTAAAGTGTTTTATAATTCAGGCATGCATTAGTGAAAATGAAATAGGTAAATCAGTAAAAAATCAGGGATAAATTAAACCTATGATTCAAGATTCATCAATTGACTACAATTCCTATTTAAAAATTTTTATTTCCCCATCCATTGAAATCTAAGCACATGTATTTCCACATACACCCATAAAGCTATCAGTGCACTGTATTTGTTGATATTTGTATAATTTAGTAATGCATTTCTACCTTCTTGATTTATTTTGATCTTCCTTCTCCTCTACACCAATAATATCTAACAATGGGATTCTAGTAAAATCTTGATGATCATCTGTTGGGACTTTTCCTTCCATTGCCCTGTAATAGTCATGAAGAAGTTTCTTTGTATCTTGGAAACGATCCAGTTCAACCTCAGAAAAAAGGACAGAAAAATTGCAATTCAAAACAGAAATGAACAAATTTATGCTACATTTTAAAATAGATGATACCAGAGGCAATTCAAAATTCTAAGAGTTTGAGGGAGAGCAACAAACATAACCATATTTAAAAAAAAATTTATAGTGGATTCAATGCATACGTCTACTTGCACCTATAATGTCTTCACACTGGTATTTATAAGGATTAATAAAAATTGTAGTTGTTAGAATAGGAAAAATTATATGCCATAAATAATGTTTGATGCATTAATTTTAATAACAATATATTTTGATCTATATGTATTTCTATAGCAGGAGGTATACTAATACCAACAAATTATAGGCACCTTTTCGTTCAAAAGAAATAAAATGCTTAATAGCATAAAATAAGGAGGGTTAAGTGATCGAGAAAAATTTAAAATCCATACAGTTTTTCTGGACCAAAATCAACAGACTTTGTACACCTAAGTGTCTTGAAGACTTTTGTGTGAATCATCCTGGAAGAAATCAAGTATGATTTAAAAAACATTTAACACCTGTCATGTTTTGATTTATTGATATGGTATGGTGTTTCTAACTGACAAAACAGTACTAAATATTCATGGGAAAATGTACAAAACCACAGTCACAAAACAAAGGATAAAACCTTTGTGGTGTAAACCAGCACTTATCCATAAGTTAAGGAGAAAATATCTTCTGGTATACCAGTGTGTACACAGAAAGGTGGAAAGAAATCTGATAAACGGCATTTATACAAATCTATGTGTAAATACAGTAGCAGAGCCACCTGGGGAATATATGTAATTTCCCACAGAAAAACCCACAGATGCAGAGCTCAAGACCAAAGAAGCCTATTTTTGGCTGCTTCTCAAAGCAAGCCATAACATAAAGATATAATTAATATATTTTTAGTTCTGTAGTTTTAGCTTTAATTATTCATTTATTTTGGGGATTATATACTAACTAAAGAAAGTAAAAACTGTTTCCTTTGCATTTTTGATTAGGAAAATAAAAGCTGTTAATACATGTAATTGTAATACAGGTAGTTGTAATTTTAAATGGCTATTCTGCATATACACACAAGACAGATCCAACTAGATCATAGTGAATCTCCTCTGGACTGCATCATACATGTCCATGAAATTCTTCTAGAAGTGAATTAGGATTGCAAGTCATATATGAATATAAAAGGAGAAAAATAAAAGCTTTAAACTCAGCAATATTACTTTAATTTGGCTCCCTTATGCATATAATTCAAGATAGTGGCCTTAAGTCACTATTTAGGGCGTTATTTAGACTCTGAAATGAGAGTTAATAATTTCCTTACTCTAGCAACTGACTACTTCACAAACTTTCTTAAATTACCTCAACATTCATACAAGAAAGTAATTCCCTTGTTTATTAAACATATAAAAACATATTTAAAGGGCAGGTAGCCTACCCTAAGCTTTTTAGGCCTGATTTTTCAGCCAAATTAGCACCACATGGCATGTGTTTAAAGCACTATTTTCATTGTGTTCTTTAAAGTTGCCAAAACTTTCACAGAATGGTCACTCAGTTTATAGAAACATCTGTCTAGTCTAGTCTAGCCCAGTTTAGTTTAGCCCTAAACCAAATTTATGCACCTAGAACAGAAGTCACAGTGAAATCTTACTTTATTTCAGGAACTGAAATAATTAATGGTCAGGCTGATTGAGTAGAAAGGCTTAACATTGGAGAGAGGAGAGACAACTAATTGAAGATGGTCTCTTGAAAACTTTAAAATCAGATGCTGGATTATGTTTGAATTGATTATCTCAAGAGCAACGAATGACATCCCATTCTGTAGGTATCTACAGAATAGTATTTCAGTTTGTAGGTAAAATTTCAAGCCACGTTGGTGAAGTTAACAACTGAAATAATTTTGTGATATAGGGAATACAGGACAACCTTAGCAGCAAGTGGGTCTAGAATAGCAGTGAATTATGTACTTTGTAAATTGAAAGCAGATGTCAATATGATCACAGAAGAATAAACACCTCTAACATTCCTGTTACAAAACTCAGACAATTCACTGGATTGATAAAATTGCAGAAAGTAGCACTATACACCACAGATTGGAAGTCAGAGGGGGGTAGACAATACTAATGGTGTTTTTCTTAACCTTTTCTGTCTGCCAAGCAATTTCATATATGGAGTGTCATCTACTTTTTGTCTCTTAATTTTCCAGATAAATTCAGAAGAGGCATGAATATTTGCTTATCTAATTCTCAATCCCTCACTTATTTGAAGCCAACCATATGAAATTTCTCCGAGACTGACTATCCTCCAAATCTAAGTCGTTATCATCTTCCATTGTAGACTCCATACAGGATCCATACCTGCATAAGTGAAAAGAAATGATTCATTGCAATCCCACTATGATCTGGTAACCAGCCATCATTCATGATATCAGTTCGTTCCTGCTCTGCTTCTTCCCTTCTGTTATCACAGATATCCCAGAGAAGATCTCTTAGATCCTAAAACACAAAATGAAATATGAGATAATAACTATTAAAGAAAACTGGAATAGCTTTTTTAGATTTATTATTGTAAATTGCGGTGGGCGGAGGAAGCAAGCAGCCGATTCAATGTGAATGATAGAGCAAGCTTCAACTTTATTGAGAGAAATCATACCTTATATAAGCAATCTACAATACACTACTTGCAACTCTATTGGATACATTTAAGAAACTACATTATAATGTCTCAGCCATTGGGTACATTTAAAAAGTCACATTATAATACCCCAGCCCCTTGTGGCATTTCTGGTATGCATAAACATCTTTCTTGCTGTGAACCTGCTTCTCTCCCAGGGTTGTTTTCTTTCACCCCCAAGGTCGTAATGTGCCCCCAACTTATCTCCTTGTTCTCACAACAATCCTCGCTAGCACAACTGAGTCCTGGGTCTTCATCCTTGTTTACATAACTGTACCCTGGGTTCTTTCCTTTGTTTACCTCAGGTGGCTGGGACCAACTTCTGCAGGGAGCTATGGCCGACCAGCTCCTGCAGGGAGCTATGGCCTTGCTCTCTGCAAGCCGTTCTCCAACAGTAAATTATATTTTTTGCATGTGCATAGGTCATTTTCCCATCTGGAGCTTTTTCTTTATTGATATAAATGTCAAAGCCCGGTCAGCAAGTCGTGTGCTCACAGAAAGTAGCTTTATAAATGTGCCAGAGAGAAGAATACAAACGTACGAGATGAATGTGTAGGCTGCCTTGCTTTCCTCAGGAGAGAAGACCTATCTAAGCTAGAGAAAGATGTGAGAATATGAATAGCTAAGCTCCCAACTGCACCAAGAACTTTCCACTTGAATGGTTTACTAATTAATTAATACAAGATGAACACTAAGGGGATGCGTGATCTGAAAAATTCCAAGAAATTATGTTCAAGTTTTCTTCTAATTTGGATAGCTTCTTGCCATTTTTCTTTAATGTTCTTCATAACTAAGGGCTCTTCAACTACTGACTATATCTAATAGCAGAACTATGTGGCTCACTGACAGCACTGAAGACCTACTAAGCATACAACATGCATGCAAACTCTCTGTTCGCCTTTGCTGTCTCTGCCTGGAAACAGTGTGACAGACCTCTATGTAATAAGGTGGCGAAAGAGAAGAGTGCTGTTCAATGCAGTGCTAAGGTAAGCTAAAATGAGCTGTCTCTCAGGCTCCAAGCAGTTCTACCCCACCTGACCTGTTTCTGTATAGAGAAAAGATGTTCTACACTACCAGCCCCGCAAAAAGGAGCTTAGGCTTCAGGTGATAAGTGATTCCATATTCATCCGTTCTTGGTCTCAGAGTAGTATGTTGAGATCCTGTTTCTTTCCCCCCCATCCAAAGACTTCAGACAAATCCAGTTGTCCTCTGTTGGACAAGAGCCACAGCGAAGCTGACAAATGAGTAATCCTTTGGCTACATAACACGTCAGTGACGGCATAAATAGAAGGTAGCCAAGGTGAAGGCTACCAGATATTCATGGTTGCCAATATTGTAGGATATACATGTAAGGATAAGCGACTGAATAAAATAAGCATACAACTTATCTGTTTTGCACCTTGGCTGGCTGCCAGGTGTCCACCAAGCTGCTCTATCGCTCCCCCTCTTCACAGGACAGGGGGAGAAATAATGATGGAAAAGTTAGTGGGTCAAGATAATAATGGGAAGATTGTTCATTACCATCATGTGCAAAACAGACTTGGCTTGGGGTAATTAATTTATTGACAACTAATAACAGAGCAGAATAGCGAGAAATAGAACAAAACTAAAAACACCTTTCTCCCACACTTCTTCCCAGGTTCAACTTCACTCCTGACTCTTCTACCTCCTTTCTCCCAAATGATGCAGAGAGGATGGGGAATGAGGGGTTGTGGTGAGTTTATTATGCATTGCCTCTGTCACTCCTTCCTCCTCATGCTCTTCCCTGGCTCCAGAGTCAGGTCCCTCTCGCGGGATACAGCCATTCATAAACTTCTCTCACATGGGTCCTTCCCATGGGCTGCATTTCTCCAAGAACTCCAGCGTTGGCCCCTTCTATGGGTGCAGTCCTTCAAGTTCATGCTGCTCCAATGTGGGTCCTCCATGGGCCACAGGTCCTGTCAGTACACCTGCTGCTGTATGGGTTCCTCTCTACAGGCTGCAGTTCCTTCCAGGAGCTTGCTCTGGTGTTAGCTGGCCACAGGCTGCCTCTCCCTTCAGGGCATGTCCCCCTGCTCCAGCATGGGGGTCCTCCAAAGGCTGCTGTGTTGCTATCTGTTTCACTGTGGTCTCCATGTGCTACACCTGCAACACCATCATCTTCTCCACAGGCTGCAGGGGAATCTCTGCTCTGGCACCTGGAACACCCACTCCTCCTCCTTCTTTACTGATCTGGGTGACTGAATAGTTGTTTCTCTCACATTTTCTCACTCCTCTCTCACAGCTGCCATGCAGTGTTTTTTACCCTTTCTGAAATATGCTATCACAGAGGCACCACCACCATCACTGATCGGCTTAGCTTTGGCCAGCAGCAGGTTCATCTTGGAACCTTCTGACAGTGTCTCTGTTTGACATGGGGGCAGCTCCTGATGTCTTCTCAAAGAATCCATCTCAAAGAATCATCCATAATTCCACCACTGTTCCTTTCAACTAATAATGTTGCCAGCATTTTTTTCCCTGTTTTATGGGAGCACTTCCTGATATGATTTCAACCAAAAATCATGTCTGTTCTGAAATGGGAATCTAATCAATTCAAAGATAGTTCTACTTCCCGCCTAAGTTAAATCTGGCTCTGAACTTGTTAGGACCTTTAGTGTCATGGGTTTTTATGAAGAACTCTCAGGACATGTATGACCTAGAAAGAACTACCTGAGTCAAAACATTTTGAAGAAATTCTCTACTTTGTATGAATCAGTTTTAGAAAACGTATATTACCATATATCATTTACGGAAAAAGTAAATGACTGAAAGATTTGTCAGAATGTCCAAATTTATGAGTAAAATCACTGAAAACCATAAAACATAAAAGAAAAAGCAGATAAATATTTATTTTATAATGTGCCAGAATACCACAGTATAACCTAAAAAGAGAAGCAAGACACAAGAAAGATATGGCCAAAAACCAGAGAAACAATTGTGAAGAACACTTTATGTAGAAGAGAAAGTGAAACAGCTTAAGAGGAGTGGTAAAAAGGAAAAAAAAAATGTAAATAATAGTATCATTCGTTGTATATCAAATTTGTATACAATGAAATAATACTTTAGGGTACATTACAACTTTTGCCATTTACTTACAGTAACTCTTTGGTGTAGTTCTGCCTTTGTTTCCTCATCTTCTCTCATGTCATCATCAACTGAATTAAAGTCTGATTGCCACTGAGATACAAACTCCTGCTTAAGATCTGGATGCTTCAAACAATCTTGGAATTTTTTTCTGTAAATTACGGTAAAAATAATTTTGGTTTTAAAAGACATAGAATGCCAGAGGGAAAATACTAAATACTAGAATTAATGTAATAAGCTACTATTTCTACTCACCTAACATCTGCTAAGTAATCAATCACAGCATGCTGTTCATCCCTTAGACATCGAAGTATAGTTTTGATAGTACTCTCATATGTGTTTTCTACCATTTCCCAGTAAGGCACTAAAAATTCAGGTATCTCCTGTGAATTTTTTAAAAACATCAGAATTAATCGATATATTTCTTGGAACCCATTTGATTGTAGCATTAGCAAATATACGAAAGGTTATTTACTGAAATCAAATTACTGACTTTTTTCACTATGTACTTCCTTTGATTTACAACTGCGTGCAACTGATTACAGACACTGTACCAACATACAGTTTATCTTGTGCATTTTACTGGAAAAAGTGTCAGTACTCAAAATGAATGGGAAATTCCAGCAGAACACTCTAATATCTGTAGTTTTGGATATATTCATAAACTAAGTGAAAATACTAAGTGAGTACTTAAGAATCAAAATTTCGTTTATCCTGTTTATGCTGGTAAAAATCTAAGCTGACTGCCTAGTATTGCAAAAGTGACATTTGACTGACTGTCATTAAATGCAAAATAAAGCCCATGGGCAAAGGAAACACAGTTCTATGCGAGCTAATTGCAGTCATGAAGGCAAAACTGGTAAAGGAATTGCAGAAAAAACCCCAGAGAATCATTATTCACCCTTCAAATCTACATTTCAAATACTGCATACTGTCCCAGCTCCCCATCTCAAAAAATTTACAGTTGAACTAGAACAGCCAGACAGAAGGGAAGAATCATGACAACGTATGAACAGCTCCACATGAGGATTTAAACAGATGATGACTGGATTGAAAAAGCAAGGCAACACTGAGCAAAATGAGGATGTAATAGATGCTGGTCATTTCTTAAATACCTTAAGAGAGTGATTATAAAATTATTATTCATTGTATCTCACAATAAACGAAGTAGAGTCATCAAATGACTCAAGTAAACAAGAGGTTTAAAGCAAAGAGACAGAAATACTTTTTCAGAAACAGCCTAATTATACAAGCTATATCATGGAGATCAAAAAGTAAATTGATTCAAAAAGAAGCAACTAGACATAATCATGGAAGAAAAATCTACCAAGAGCTACTAAACACAAATATGCAGATATAAAGTAATCTCAGGAAACCCCTAAATTTCACATTATTGGAAAGTAGGAAGATATCTTTGGGGAAAATATGTTGGAAAAAAGTATCCCAGGAGAAATATCAGTGCATACACTCCCCATTCTTACATTCTTTCTACAAGATGCACGGTAAAGAAACTGACCTAGTAAGTCTACGCTAGTATTTCATAATATTAAAAAGTATTATTTTGGCATCCATGTGTTATTCTTCATCATTATGTGAAGAATTCAGAAAAATACAATGATCAAAATTTTAAAGTGTGCTCCTTATTTTATATAGTTTAGTAGAAACTGTTATTTGTATTTTTTAATATTTATAATACAGTAGTAGTGTATTTTTCCTTGAAAAACACTGAAGAAAACAACATGCAATGAGACAAAATGTTTGGGTATAATATGAATAAAATACTGAGAAAAAGATATACTTCGGTATCTAAGACTTTTAATCATGAATGAATGTACCTTGGGAAGTGGTTCATCTACATAAATCCATTCATCTGATCCTGGTTCAATTGGTAGTGGTGCCACAGGAATGGGAGGGAGCAGATCTTGACTTGTAACTGGTAAAAGCTTTTTTTCTGATGATATTTCTTGAGCAGACCCTTATATATGAATGTACAATTAATACCTTCAAGTATGTTTTAAGTATCAATAGTTTTACAAATTTATTATTAGTGTTAATTATAAATAACAAAGCCTTTTCTTACTGAATTTTAAGAAGTAAGAACAGGAAAACTTACTTCTATTTTGTTTTTTGTCAATTTCCTCCATTACAATTTCCTTCACTGTTTCACACACAAGACTTTCTTCTGTCTCTGCATTGATTTTCACTAGAATATTTTGATGGACTGAAAACCATTTCTCTAATTTTGGCCACGTGTCTAGAAAGCCTGAAATTCTATAAAAATCATATTAACGTATAAAATTAAAACCTAACTAATGAAAAAGAAAACATTTTCCTGAATTAATAAACAAAAGAAAAAGCAGACCATCTAATGTAATACTAAAACAAATCTAGGTAATATTTTTGGCAGAATAATACTCCACCCACACCAACCCTTCATTTTCAACATAGTAAAAATTTCAAAATCCTACTGTTAACTAGACTTCCATATTTCTTACTCTTTCTTATCACAAGCAAAACCTACTTTCTTATATCACAACAATAATAATAATAGTCTGAAATAGTTGATAGTATCAAATATTTAGTAACAAAACTTGTTCTTAATTTTGCTCTTTATGCAAAGTTAAATATCTAATCAAAACCAATTGTTTTTTATAAATGTAAAAGCAGAAAATACCATTTTAGAAAATCTGTCACTCAAATCAAGTGCATTTCACTCAAGGGCAGTCACATGATGTATGACATACCTCAGACATATGTATGCATAGATACATATACACACATATATATATATACATACAGTTCATGCAATATATATATATATATATATATATATATATATATGAAAAATAAATTCTCCTTGGAAGAATACTTTGGAAAAGCAAAGCACATTAATTCTTATAATCTAGGATTATATATCTTGTGCAAAAATGAAAGTACCCTTTAAACTCCACATTAGAGAAACTCCTAAATAAATTCTGAACACTAGGCATATCAGTATTATATGGATCACATAGGAGATTCAGATTAATGACATGCCTAAACATCTGGCTGAAGCAACTTTTTTGTACTTCATATAACATACCTATGTAGCACCTGGTCCCTGGCTAGGTCAATCTTCTCCTCTAGGATTTCAGCATCTGAATTTTGATTGTTGTTGTTTTCCTGTTCAGTTTGAGATGACTTTGATTTATCTGCTGTGTGAAAAACAGCATATATTTGGATATATTGAAAAAGGCAATTATAGAGGTGGTTATTAGCCCGAAGTAAGATCATCATTAAAAGAAAAATCTCAGTATTCCTTGATCTTACATTTCTTCATTTAAAAATTGGGTACCAAACTCCCTAAAAGAAAGGAAAACTCAAGAGAAAATCATAAAAATCTGAAATTAAGCTGGAAAGACAGAGTCTTGCCTCTTCCTCTGTTTAAATGCATAGCCAATTATAGCACTAGTATTTCCTGATGGATGCTCTGCAGTCACAGAAATCTCCAGTTGCAGAGAGGGAGCATTCCTGCAAGCAGACTATTATAGGCTTATCTATTCTAAAAGTAAGAAGGTATTTTCACGTCTAATCTGAATCTTCTTTGAAGTAACTACTCCTTTTCACAATAGGCAGATATTCCACTGTATTTGAAGATGGTATTCTCTCTTTCTGAGTCTTCTATAAATTTAAAAAAAACCCCTTTAACTAGTACAAATAAGCCAATTTTTAATGGATTTTAGATTTTTTAATTATTCTTTTGACTCTATCACATTACCTCTGATGAAATAAATTCTGTTTGGATTTATGAGATTATATACTTTATTATCACATTTTCAAAGTGTTTTGGCAATACAAGGTCTTTAAATGAATAAGAATTTCAAGTGTCTACATTTATCTTCACCACATTTTTAGCAGAAGCTCTAATGATTTTGCCTCATCCTCTTTCCTACCTATACATAAAAGTTAAAGGTAAAGGTAGTTTAATTCAAGCCATATACCATGTAAGTGCTGCAGTGAAAACAACAGAGTATAATTTCCTTGTAATTTGGACAATATGGGACATACTAATGAAAAGAACTTGTTTTACCAAGGTGAGCAAGGGCAATTAAAAATGTGTGGTCTAGAAGCAAAACACCACTCAAAAAGCTTTTCTTGCCATTGCCTTTGTTGGACAAAATTAACAATTTCTGATTGTTCACTGACTAACTGAAGACAAAACAAAGGTAATAATCTATACAGAATGAATATTGGCACATCCCTTTGTTTATAATTTCCTTCATCCCTTTCCAAATATATCTCCTGGAGAAAAATACTATTTACTTACAAACAGTTATTTGTAATGAGGCATTTTTCTGAATCTGTTGTAACTTGTGTTTTTTCCAGCTGCTGTTTTATGTGGTATCTACACCAGCCATTGTGATAACTTAGCTCCGGGGAGAATTCAGTATGAATAGAAACAAGCATATACACATATACTTCCACATTTCTGATCTGCCTTTGACTGAAGCAAATAAAAGTATTTGAGATAATCTGGAAGCATTCAAGGTGATAATGCACAATTAATGAAAGTGATACTGTGAGATGAAGAGAAATTGTGCAGTAATATTATTTTGCTGCCATAAGTACAATTTATATTTGGTAAATAATGTTTGGGATGAATGTGTTCCTTATACCTAGTCATGTACTTTTAGATAAAGTTAAAAGGGGCCTTAAAAATGGAGAAGAAAACTGTCAAGAAATCTAAACAATTTCTAATTTCATAATTGTCAGAGGAAAATAAATATATAATTTAGTGGTTTTAATTAAAATATGCAACTCACTATTATGTTGCAAAGTAGTCACAATTTAGGTATTTCAGTGTTATATCAATCTTTACATTCCCCATACGTCAGAATCTGCTTGTCATTTTACTTTTTTAAAAGTAGTTAGAAACTTACTCTTCAGATTAGCCACACGTTTCAGTACCACAGTGTCTGAAATATCCAATAACACAGAAATATCAAATGCAGGTGAGGTAACAGGAGACTTGTTAGGGGCTCTGGGATCGGTAACAAGTGAAAGCTTTCCAGGATTTGCATCTTTTGCTTCTGGATCAATCCCTGTATAGGCTTTTTCAAATAGTTTTGCCTGATTAATTGTCATTGGAAACCCATCCACAATCCACCCCTTCTCTGCTGGTATTTTGCTAAAAGTAAATGAAGAAGCAGAATTATACAGAGAATTGATAATAATAACACCTAAAGAAAAGCTGGCCTTAGCAATCTTTCATGCTAAATTCAATATATTAAATATCCAGAGAAATACAAAATATAATAGACAATTAAAACTTAAACTATATAACAATGGATTTTAAATCAGAAAAATAACATCATGCCTAACTAAAAGTGAAAAAAAGAAAAAAAAAAAATTTCGCTATATTGATAAATAAAGATTTCAAAAACATTCTCTATATGGACTATGATCAGAGGTGTAATTTCACTATTTTGTCTACTAACTTTTGCATTGAAATAACAGCAAAATTTGTTTTGTAACTAAAATATACTAATAGGAATAATAAAACTTAAATGATATTCATGTAGAAACAAGTGCTAATTGCACATTGCATTAGTTGAGAGAATGTTCTGTCAAACAAGAGTAGTTGAAAGGAAGTAACATAACTGCTGAAGTGTGAATGCTTGGATTATTAATTTCATAACATCTAAAAGAAAAAATACTAGCACACGATGAATAGCTTCCAACTAATACACAAAATAGAGACACTAGCTGTGCTTAATGACTATATGATACTCGTGTATATTTTTACTTACCTGAAGTAGTGTACAATGTCTGCATAATTTAGTGCTAGACTCTACTGCTAGCATAAAATGAGCATTAATAGCTTCACTATTTAGGTCCACTTTCCAAGTAGAAGACCAATGTTCAAAAAAACATCTTAATAAAGACGAATGGTTGAATCTAGACTACAAGCTGGATAATTACATTCTAAATAACTGAGGAAAAAAGATACACAATTTCATACTTAATGGCTTCCAATAGGATGTCAATTAATAATTCATCAGGAATACTTTTTCCTTTCTTCAAAAATTTCTGTGATGTAGCGCCAAGCTGGGCACGTACAGACAGCTGTGGAAGAGTGCAGTGTAAGACTAATATGCTCAGAACATTCACAATACTCAGTCTTAAAAATAGTATGATTCTACTGTATACATTATATATTTATTTAAATTTAATGTTTACTGTGTTGTTTATATTTAATACTTAATGTTATCTATTAAAGATAAATAGGCTCAACTGATGTAAAAAGCCCTAACTTAATTGAATCTCCAACTGATTTCCATCATTACACCCATGAAAATTTTAGACAGAAACAAGGTTGAGAAACAAAGTATATGACTAAGAAATAAAAAAATAAGTGCCCTGGTTCAAAGCTTATTCTGATTTTTCACTACCGTGAATCCACTGACAGTTTTCAGAATTTAACTTTATTATTTCTACAGGGATTCTTTTCCATGTTAACTTTCGAAGCATTTTCCAGTGAGCAATAAAGTCAAAGAGATCACTGCAGAATTAAATATTTCTGAATATAATGAAAAGAAACCTTGTCATGGGATGAATTATCTGCTTGGTAGCAGCAAGATCAGGAATACATTTTTGCTAACTCAGAAATGACATAGAAACTACCGTATCTTACATAAATATAAGACTTAACAAGAAGATATATAACTTTAACAATATGTACAACTCTAAACAACATACACAGGAACACATTTTCATAATAAACTGTTTTCATATTTCACACAGAAAATGCTTGCAGTGAGGTCAACAAATTAATTTCAGAATGATGAATGGTTATCACCTTTTAAGTAATTTAATCATTTTAACTAATATATCTTTATAAAGTAGCAGATAAAACTGCATTACAAACCTTAGATAAGCCATCCTGACTGTTATACGATATAAATTCTTGTCCAGATGGATCCTTTTTGACAGGATAATTGCCTAAAATAGGTACATTATATAAAGTTTGATAAATCTGTTACTATAATATTTTTTACTATAGACAAATATGAAGTATATGCCTCATTATTGTTCTTTGAACAAATCAATACAGAAGGTGTATATATAATTGTTAGAACCATAGGAACATTGATTAATTCAGGTTGGAAGCAACTTCCAGAGGTCACCTAGTTCAAGTTCAACCTTCTGCTTGAAGTGGCATCAGTGAAAAAGTCAGACAAGGTTGCTCAGTTGCTCACCCAATTGTGATCTAGAAAAACTTCCAAGGATGGAGACTACACTCACTGTACAGGCAATTTGTTTCAAGGCTTGATGATTCTCATAGGGAAAAGGTGTTGTTTTATGTCCAGTCAGAAGGGCAACAAAGAGGTCTTCTACAGTTCTTTCTACAGCAAAAGGAAGGCTTGGGAAAATGTGGGCCTGCTGAGAGAGACATGCAGAAGACTGAGGTATCCCAAGCCCCTGAGACTAGCAGGAAAGTCTGCAGCAGGAAAGATTTACCCTTGGTGGAGGAGGATCAGCTTAAGGAACATTTATGTAAACTGTAAGTACACAGGTCCATGGGACATGACGGTATATACCTACACATGCTGAGGGACCTGGGCGGTGTCAATGCTATGCCACTCTCAATAATCTTTGAAAGGTCCTGGTGATTGGAGGAGATTCCGAGGACTAGAAGAATGCAACTGCCACTCCTGTCCTCAAGAAAAGCAAGAAGGGGGAACTGGGGATGTACAGGCCAGTCAGCCTCACCTCAGTCCCTGGGAACCAACGGAACAAATAAGCATGGAAACCATTTCCGAGTATATTAAGGACAAGAAGATGACTTGGAGTCGTCAGCATGGATTTATGAAGGGGAAATCATGCCCGACTACATGACACCCTTCTACACTGAGGTGGCGGGCTCAGTGGCTGAGAGAACATCAGTGCATGCTGTTTACATTGACTTTTGACACTGTCTTCTTAACATTCTCATAGACAAACTGATGACGTATGGACTAGGTAACTGGAGAATGAGGTGGACTGAACACTGGCTGAACTGCCAGGCTCAGGGGTTTGTGATCAGCTGTGTGAAGTGTAGGTGACAGTCAGTGATTAGTGGTGTAGCCCAAAGGCTGATTCTGAGACCAATACTGTTTCACATCTTCACTGATGACCTGCATGATGAGACAGAGCACACCCTCAGCAAGTTTCCAGATGATACAAAACTGGAAGGAGAGGTTGATACACCAGATGTCTGTGCTGCCCTCCAGAGGCACCTTGATGGGCTGGAGAAAAGGGCTGGCAGAAATGTCATGAAGTTCAGCAAAGGGAAATGCTTCTGGTGAGGACAACCCCGTGCCTTCAGTACCAGCTGAGGGCCAACTGTCTTGAAAGCAGCTTTGCAGAGAAGGGCCTGGAGGCCCTGGTGGAGAAGTAGTTGATCATGAGCCAGCAATGTGCCCATGCAGCAAAGGCGACCAACAGTGTCCTGATCACATTAAAAAGAGATGGCACTGGTGAGACCACATCTGGAGTGCTGCATCCAGTTCAGGACTCCCCAGTGCAAGAAAGACATGGATATATTGGACCAGGCCCAGAGAAAGACCCTGACAATTCCTAAGGTCTGGAAGAATCTGGCATAGAGTAGAGACTGAGAGCTGGGACTGTTCAGCCTGGAGAAGAAAAGGCCTGAGGGGAAATATCAATGTTTAGAAATATCTGGGGTGGGGAGAAGAGTAAAGAAAACAGAGACAGACTCTTCTTAGCAGTTCCAAGAAAAATAACAAAAGGCAACAGACACAAATTGAAACACAGACAATTCCATTTAAACGTAAAAATATTAACTGTAAAGTTACAGAATATTGGAACATGTTGCTCAGTGAGGTTGTTGAGTGTCCCTCCTTGGAGATGTTCAGCATCCAACTGAACATATTCCTGAACAAACTGCAGTAGTGACCCTGCTTTGAGGAGGATGATTGGACTAGGTGATCTCCAGAGGTCCCTTCCACCCTCAATCATCCTGTGATTCTGAGTATAGGTGGCTTATACCAATGTCAGTTTCTTTGTTGGTAAGATCTGTTGTAGAGAAAGGTAAAATGACCAGAGGTGAGGGCTTGCTCTTCCTTCCTTTGGAAGCTGCTTTCAGGCTGAAGCTCTCATCCTGGACCCTGCCTGTGGTACATTACAGCTGTGTAGAAGCGATGTCTGCACCCCGTGTCCTGTGTACTTGATTCTGACCCCAATCCACATGTGCTAACTTGAGCTCCCAGCTTGACCTCAGACTTGATTCATTGGCAGAATTGATGGGCTATCACCAGACTGAGGTGCGGGCTGATCAATGTCTCTGGACCTTACAGTGACCCTGACTTCAGTCAATATCCTCACTCTTGCTGGTGAATGTTGGCACTTCCTGCTTTGTTATTGCCCTTGTCACCTAGCTCACCCTCCTTCATGAAGCAGACTGCACTTGCTGTTCCCAGACAGTAGGAATGCGTGGAAACAGGAAATTCATAATGGAAACTACTGTGAAAACTCAGATGTCATGGATACTACCTCAAATGTAGAAGAGAAAGGGAAATTGCCATTTCAATGTAATAAGAATTGAAATTAAATTTTACAAATATATATACATATATACACATATATAAATAAAATATATACACACCTTTGGTTCCATTGATAGGTGATTCTGTTTGGATTTTCTTTAGATGTTCCGGTGGTGATTTTGATAATTTCTCCTGGACCTTGTATCAATTATGAAAGGAAATGGATTAGAAAGGAAACTACATATTACAGGAAAAACAAGCCTGCCAGTACAAACTGACTGTTTAAGTCTTGTAAGTCAAAAATTTAAAATTAAGTCTGAAATTGAGTAAAAATTTGTAATAATATGCTTTCTTCCTTATATATTTCATTCTCATCTCCCTGTGTGAGCCAAAACCAAAATTAACAAAAATGCTTACCTCATTTTGTTTTCCAGAACTCTCTGCTTCTTGTGGAATCACACTGTGTTCACCTCTCATTTCATTTTTAAGAAAAGCTTGGATAGCCTCTTGAACCAGAGTATCAACACATAATACCTGAATATTGCAAACTAATACACAAAAAAATTAGATAACCTTACAGTTCAAGTGGAGCTTACATACAGAGACACTATTACTGTAAATTAAATTAATGATTTTGTTCGGGCTTTTGATATAAGTTGTTTCCACTGTCTTCTCTGTAACCACTGCACAGTGTGTACCTACAGTCACAGCTATCTTGCTTATCTATTCTATAACAAACATCCCCAGAGAAGTTTGCCAAAAGCATTTTCAAATTCTCAATGCAGAAGTAATAATATTTTAACACTATATTCAAATTCAGATGTTTTTAATCGTATTTTGGAAGATAATGGATGACATGCAACCAACCCCTACAAAATACAGATGCATCTGAGGTTCAAGGAATAGTAATGCAAGAATTTGCACAAACAATTTTCACTTTAAGATAGGATTTTAACACAAAGATTTTTAAGAAGTTTAGGTTTTTTAAACGTATCTCTACCTTTTTCAATAAACTTTACACAGGTGGTTTTTCCACTAAAAAGTTTTCCCAAAATACATCCCTTAATAGGAAACGGAGGAAATACAGGTGGTGAACATTTGGGTTTTGGAGGATAGAAAATCTCCATCAGTCTGCGAAGCACGTGACCCAATATGTTATTATTAAGAGGAGGTTTGATTACACTGTTCTCTTCTGTTGGGCACCATTCCCCTGTCATACTCTGTATAAATGACAAATTACCAAATAATCTGTTAATACGCCTTGTCTTTCATCTTTCTAGATATATGTATTTATATACAAACACAATACATACAATAACCAAATCTCCATAGTACTAAATATTTTTTTTAAAATAGACCCTCGTTAAAAGCTATATTTTTTCACAATTATTAAGCATTTATCAATATTCACTAATACCTAGATGAGAGACAAGTACTCCTACTCCTTTTTTTTTTTAGTTTCATAAACATGAAAAATCATTTCACTAATACCAGAGAATGAATCAGTAGCAGATTTTTTTAATAGAAGCCCAGCTTTCTAATATTCAGCACTCTAAAAATTGGGCAACATTATTGCCCAGTATCACACATAAAATATTTGAAAATTTTATGGACAAATATTTCAAATATATATACTTGCCTAACACACATTCAATAGAGAAAAAAAAAAAAAAAAGAAAACCCCCCCCCCCCCCCAAAAACCAACAACACTGAACAAATCCAAACCAAACAAACCATCATATAATTCAAATAATTTTAAGGGAAGGAAATACTGAATACAAACTTCTAGTTCATCTACTCTGAGACCAATAAAAATTTATCAGTGGTATGAGTTACCAGAATATAGCTTAATGAGGTTTTGTCAGTAAATATACTCTTACTGACAATCACATTGGAAGAAAGATAAAAATGGAAGGATGCAGTCAAAAGAATTGAACACAGAATTGTGTTCACATTATAATATATACTCTACCACTATTGGATCTTATAACACTATCAAAGTCCTGATGAGCAGTTTATGCTATGAGAAGCTAAAAGAGAACATTTTAGTATGCAGGATAACACTAGTCCTGTATTACTTATTATTTGGGTGCAGGCTACTAAACAGCTGTTTGGAAGATATGTTGACTAATATTCCCAATCAGATTCTAGCTTGGTTCCTCATTTGGGGTGCACAATAAAGGGTTTAGAGGCAAAATCAAATGTTTCAGTAAGAGAAATTCCAAATAAGAAAAAAAAAAAAAAAAGAAGAAAAAAGTTCACAATGAGAGTAAAGCACAGTAACAGGTTGCATAGAGAGTCTGGAATCTCTATCCTTGGAAATACCTGAAAGCTGACCAGACAAGGTGCTGAAAACCTTATCTGACTCAGAAGTTGGTTCTGCTTTGAGCAAAGAATGTGAACTAAATGACCTCCATATCCCTTTCAACCTAAACTTTACCATTCTATAACTTAAATATTTAATCACCATCAACAGAAGCAACCAGTTTCAAAGTTCTACTGGAAAATGTTTTGAATTCATGTTCCAGGAAGAATATGCAGCTTTTTCCTGAACTTACTACCAGGAATGATATATTGCCACAGCATACATTTTGCTAACAAAACTTTATCGGTGTTGATTTTGAACATATGTGCATTACATAGAACAACACAATGTAACTTCTTATAACTCTAAATTAAAATACAATCTATTTTTAATCAGTAAAAAAACCCAAACAAAATCCTTCCCCTCTCTAATACATCTCAGAAAATGTACTTCTTAACACATAATTGAAAAGACAGGCTTAAAAAAACCAAATCCTTGACCTATCTGAACAAGTCTTCCTTAAACATGTAAGTAGAGATGGATCAGTTATTTTAAGTTCTATCAGACCTGTAGGAAAAATGAATTCCAAATGGAATGGGCTCCCCATTTGAAGTACTCACCTTTCATATTTCTTGTCCTTTTGACCAGAAGATTGCTAGACTGTACCTTTCTTGAGCTAAAGTAGCTTACCTGTCAGAAACAAGTTTTCAGGTATCCAGGTGCCAGTTACGTAACTCCTGGTTAATACTCTCAATCAAAACTGGAAATTATTTGATATTTTCAGCAGTTATGTTATGCTTGTTATGCGTGATTCCATTAATTTATTAATTGATTAGCCATAACTGACGATGTGGCAGCTTCCAAATATTTTCAAACTCAATCTAATGTGGAATGTGCAATGGACTGATAGCACAGTATTTTGTTCTTGTATTTTATATATTTGACACTTCTAGTCAGTATTCCTAATGTAAATTTAGTATTATTGTGATGCCAACATGTGGTGCAGGGCTTTTTTTTCTCAAGGCTTAAGAAAATCGGCATAAAATTTGTCAGAATACCCTGCCAATAGACTTTAATCTAGAACACTTTGAAGGTATTAGCTGTTCATTGGGTTTTTAGAAGACATAAGTACAAACTGCCAACAATTTGACATGTCATATGAATCAGTTTCTTATACAGAAACAATAACAACATCTGCAAAAAAAATTAATTATGTGAATGCATTTGAAACAGGCTGGTAGTGAAAAGGAGGCTTAATCTGTCATTAAATGCTTGCAACCTTCAGTGCCCTTACATCTAGAGAAGATTTTGTAACATAAACAACAATATGATGAAAAACTTAATTTTTATTAGTTCTCTCCACTGTTTCCTGCCTGTCTATCCTATATGTCCTCCCTGTTGGTCATGTATATATGTCTTTTTCCCCCTAAAGAAAGTTATCGTGAAATTCATTACATGCATTGATATGGTTTGAACAAGGACCTTATAAATAAACAAATCAGGAAAACATATTAATATTGACAACAAAGTAAATTGAGCTGTCAGTCATTCACCACAGAAACTTGTAACATTTATACTCCTTGCAAAAGAAAATGTACCAGTTGGTTCAGGAAGTAGATATTATACACTGCAGTTATAATTTCCCAACAGGTCAAAGACAGGTTATTTGCCATGATTTTGCCATATTCTAGTTACACAGGTCATTTGAAAAGACTAAATATGTAGTGGGATTTTTTTTTTTTCCAAAGAAAAGCACTGTTAATGTAATTTGGAAAAAATTGTACAATACATTTTAACATGGAAACATTCATTCTTTATCTTTCATTTGTTAAATTACACTAATGTATTGCAAAGTGGAAGAAAAGTTTTAAGGCACCTTGAAAAATAGTTACTTGTATTCTAACAGAAGGTTAACAAAAATGTCAGCCATTTTTAATGATATTCACAAATCACAAAATCATCTAGGTTGGAAAAGAGCTTGAAGGTCATCGAGTCCAACCATTAACCTAACACTGACAGTTCCCAACTACACCATGTCCCTAAGTGCTATGTCAACCTGACTCTTAAACACCTCCAGGGATGGGGACTCCACCACCTCCCTGGGCAGCCCATTCCAACGCCTAACAACACCTTCTGGAAAGGCATTGTTAAATCCAGTCTAAACCTTCCCTGGCACAATTTGAGGCCAATCCCTCTTGTCCTATCACTCATTACTTCGTTAAAGTGACTCATCCCCACCTGAAGCCAAGATGACAGGCCTGTAATTTCCCAGATCATCATTCTTACCCTTCTTATATATGGGCGTCACATTGGCCAATTTCCAATCTGTCGGGACCTCCTCAGTCAGCCAGGACTGTTGATAAATTTTACCATCTTAAAATAAATAAAGCTTTCACTTAAAATTGCTGAAACTAAGACTATTAGGTTTTGTAACAGATATAATATTTTGTTTTACTTGCTTTTGCTGGTTATTTTCTGTCGCATTTTCAAATATGGTAGCTTTAACCACACTTTCAAATTCCAATTAGCTGAAAATTAATTGCATTGCAATTAACATGTTGGTCCTATGAACTCAGGAGAGAAATATGACCAATGTCATATACAGGAATAAAATTAGCAATGTTTTAAAATAGCACCAGTGATCCAGTGCTACTAACATAGAATATAGCCATATATTTCATATACAACCTCAGGCAATGTAAAGAAAATGCACGTCAAGATCTGATATCAGAAACTAGTGAAAGAACAAAATAAAACTTCACAACAAAATATCTGATTATGAAACATCAAGCTGTATTTTCATCCATTATGTCTTATCAGTCTGATGTACCTTGTATTCACCATAATCTTTTTCATCTAACAGATTCATTTTATTCAGCTCTACAAGTTGTTCTGGGCTCAGATCATTTTGTAAAGGTTGAACTGAGGCTTGTTCATACATTGGTTTTCCATTAAAAAAAAATTCCTTCCAATCAAGCATCACTTTTAATGGTATTCTGCTGTAGAAGAAAAAAACAGGTTACAAAATAAAGATTGAAGGTGTTAAGGGAATCCATATTTACAAGAATCAGAATCATGAAACAAGTAAATGTTAAACTAGATATAGTTTATAATGCTTTCTATAATTATTAGAGCTTTTTATAAGTGCTCTCTTACTTATATGACAGCCACAGGCACTTGTAGGCTTCAGTATTTTCACAAATGTGTTATCACACAGTATTTGGCTGGCAGAGCTATGTAGTAACAGTTTTGCTACAGCGATTTTTCCCTGTTTCAAAATATTCTTCCCTTTTTTGGGTTAAAGTCTCCTCTCACCAAAAATCTATATTTTTCCTGGAATCTAAAATTAATTCAGAGTGATATGAGTAATTACAGTAATTTTTTTTCTTTTAGAAAGGGAAAATATGCATATAAAACCAGATAAACTGCATATAGTAGCAAGCTAAATGCAAACAGGATGCTGACATATGTCACATTAGAATTCTATGTCTGCCAAATAAACAAATAACAGCTTAATTTTAACAAATTATCAAAATGAAAGTCTCTACTATTTCTTAAGATTACATCAATTTGGAGTTCCTTTTTCTTAGTAGTGCTTGTAGATACTTTAGTGTTATAGCTTTAAATAAACTCTGCATGTGCTGTTCAAAAATAATTGAATACCTGTTACATGCATCCTGCACAATTAAGTGCATGGAAAGACAGACAAAGCACACCTATAGTGAAAGTAAATGTAGATACAACCTTGATATGCATACTTTAGAAAGGTATTTCAAATATCTGCACATATTGTGCACCACTCAGTACAAGCAAACATGATACTAGCTGACACTGGAACCATGACTGTGTCAGACAAGGCAATCTTCAAATTGTCACTGAACTGTGTCTAAGCTGACTATTTTATCATGTACTTACTGAGCCTAAATTTACATAATGTCCATAAAACATAATCATATGTATTTCATATGGTTACAGCTTTATTATTTTAACACAGAATTATACTAAAAGGCAACTAAGATTTTGGCAAACTTTCTCACGCTGTAAGCCTTACCCCATAGTCTAAACCACTGAATACTAATGAAAGAACAACAGCAATACCCCACTCTGTGGTTTTCGAAACAATCCTACACTTGGAGGTTACTGCTTTTTTAGGACCTTCCCAGAAACCCTGTGCAATTAGGGCACATCAGAAGAGGGAATCACAGCATGTACAAGTTACAAGATTTTGGACTGAATTGCTACTATTTAGGACAGTCCAGGCAGGTTGATACATGTTAGGAAATTCATTCTGGTTTGAATTGTTCAGCTAGTGCAGGTATCTATGAGAATGAGATAAGCACCACTCAGTTTTTAACTTTTAAACTAATGAATTTGTTCACAAAAAAAAAAAAGCAATCAGTAGTTCTAGGGCTGTAGAACTGACAGATTTTAGTCTCCTAAGGATTCAAGTTGCGAAAAGTTTGATGTTTGAGAATCTAACCTAATGGCTGTTATTTTTACCTAACAGCTACCATACTCACTTGTTTGTCAGTAGACGATATTCTCCTACTTTTGTGGACAAATCAATAATTTGGTCAACCACTTCCGAACATATAGAATAATGCTTTTTATAACGTGCCTGAGCTCTTTCAACTGCAATTTTCTCATGGCATTCTCTTTCTTTGATAATTTGTTCTTCATGATCAATTTTTTCTTGTTTTGCAAGAGCCTAGAATTTTTTTTAAAGAGTAAATTTGAGATTGTAAAGAAAATGAAAGTGCAGAAGTGCACAGTCCTGGAAAAGAAAATTAACTTATTCATTTAAGTCAAGAAATGAAAACAGCTAGACTCTCACCAGAGCTGGATAGTCAGCAAAAAGATTAACACATAGAGAAATATAAAAATTTTTAGTCATTCTATAAATTCCAGTTTGTTTGATTTTTAACTGCTAAAATATAATGAAATAAAGGAGAAACATATTACCTCTTTCATGATAAACTGATTGAGAACATATTCAGTGCTTAGAGGGCAGGGAAACATGAAATTATGCTCTCTACTCTTTCTAAGGAACAACTATGCAGATGCATTGGTAAAGGCTTAGTTCCACTGAAACACACAATGGAATACTCATTTAGAGTATGTGTCAAGTAATTTAACTTACAAGATTCTGATCTGCAAATAATCTAATACTATTGATGCTGTTCAATCTTTGAGAAAGATTTCTGGTTGTGGTAGAAAATTATCAGTAGTTCATGTGATGGTGTGTTCGTTTTGGCAGAAAGTGTACTCAAAGAGATGAAATCAGGAGCTATAGCTGCTGATTACACAGGACTCCAGCAGTGTTGGAGGATTTGGAGCTGCTAATTGCTTTTGGCAAAAGCAACGTAAGATTTCTACCATCACATTACAGCCTACTATGAGCATAGCACTTGGCAGTTTCCCACAGGATTAGAAATCCTTTTAATTTACTAATCAGCTCCAAGATCCAGGTAGAAATTAGCACCCATGAGTGAAGCTCCTCCAGCATTTGTCAAAAATGGATGTTAAAAAATTACATCTAAAGGAAATTAAAAACATGATTCTTGAAACAAGTTTTTGTCATTGTCTTTTGTCATTTTGCCTCTGTGCCTTTTAAACAGCATACAGAGATGTTTTCTTACAAAGTTAATATTAGTTTGAAAGAAAAGATCAAAATCACACTTTAAGTTGCTCAGCTTTATCCCTTATAGAATATATTAACCCCTAAAGAATATATTCATCATTAAATCACACTGCCCCTAGAAAAGTCCTGAATTCTAACAGTTGACAATACAAATTTCATTTATAACAGGAAAGTACTGTAACAGTCCTGCAGCAATTCAAGGAGCAGATAATCTTTTACCGCTTCTCTATCAAGAGCTTCCTGGAATTCTTTCAGTCGTCTTTCTTCGTACTGTTTTTCCCTGAAAATTCTGTTTTGTTTTAACACCTCTTTTTCATGTCGAACATGCATGAGTTGAACTCCAATCCTCCGCTCCTGTTGAGATTGTCTCATTAGCCTGTAAATAAGTTGCTCCTCCTGGTAAGCCTCCTAAAAGATAACAAATAATAGTATTAAGCACAGCTTATAAACTATCTCATAGACATCTCATCAGTGTCTCATATGAGAAATATGAGTGGAGTCATATATCAGCATTTACCAGCTCATTTGATATATAAATCTGGATACATACCTATTTATGAGTACTATTTCTGCAAACAATGTAAGAACGTAGAACTATGGAAGTGAATTCTAAATATGTCTTAACTGAGATTCAGTAAAAACATTTGTTCAGATTACTCAATTTTAACTTGGATATTTCCTGTGTGCAAAGCAACTTCTGCACATTTCAAACAATTGATTTCTGTATGTAAAGATATAACTTTTCCTCAAATCATTAACTTATCCCTGCTCCTCACCAGTCCCCATCCTCAGCCATACTCTGCTGGATCCTTCATCCAGTCTATTGTCCTATGGGTTTGAATTTTTTCCCTCTTTCTTCAGATTTGGGTAATTACATTCTCCATTCTCCTCCATTCAGGAGACTGGGAATATGAGGAAGCATTCAGAACAGAGGAAGATACAAGATTTCCAGGTAACAATTTCAGTGGTTTAACTAGGACATGAATAGAACCCCATATTTGGTACTGTAAGAAAACAATTCTGAATCAGTGCTTGAAGCAAATTGATGTGCACAGACATTTTAAGAGTTGTAGACTCTTAATTTTCAAAATACTTGTCAAAACATAATAGTATCTTCTCACTACTACACTTCTCTAGACTGTTCTTGGTATCTAAAGCTTTGCCTCCCTTCTTTCACAGTCCAGAACTACTTCTGAGTTCTATGAAAAAGCTTGCCTTTCAAGCTCTATTGCCAAATATCATTTCTACAGCAGAATTTTAAGAGGAAATTTCTGATTCCCTGGACATTTGTTTCAGATGCAGCAAAACTGCTATGAAATATGTTAAAATTTAAGGACCTAAATTGGGAACTGATCTGGAGATTTCAAATTAATATTCCTAAGAACAGTGGAACAGGTAAGGCAGTTAGTAATAGTACAAAAAAATCAAACAAATTAAAATATTGCTTCTACTTTCTTTTAATCTGGTTTATTTTTCATCAGCTGCCTGCGGCAGAGAGGGCAGAACACATTACATAAATTCACCTACAAATGAAAAAATCAAACTTTATTACATATTATCATATTATTTATGAAACAACTCCACAAAAATGTCTAGATCTGTGCTACACAGTGCAACCAGGACATCTGTAACAGATTTCTAATGCAAAGCTGCAAAATTTGGCTATTTTAATTGCACTAATAAGAACAACAACTTTCTAAATAATTTTTATCTTTAATGTTGATGTTAGGGAGAAGCCATTATTTTTCAAACAAAATTCTCTTCATATTTTTAAGTGTCTTTGCCTTTACATGGGAATGAAGTACATTCCAATTGAATACTGGTGACCTGAAAAGACTAAACATATAAAAATCCCTCAACATTTTGCTTTTTTTAGCCAAAATGTGAGCTTTGCACTCCCCTTTCCTAGCACTGAATCTCCTGACACTGCATGATAGCTCTAATGGCAAATATGTGGTCATCTCAGGTTTTAATCCCAGAGTACTTCACCTGCACAAAATATTGTCTCTCTACAAAGCTTACCACAAAATAAGGATCTAATTTTGAATGTATTTTATTTGTACTCTATTTGTAGTGTACTGTTTGTAATATTTTTCTATGCACAGAATTATCATCATGCACGTAGTTGAAATGGAAAACTATGCAATAGTAACAACTTCATGTGTAGTTTATATTTTTGTATTCAGGCTATGCATCATTTGATACAGTATAGGTGATAAAATTTTCCAGTAGCACTGTCTACTGAAGAGTTAATCTGCCCATTTGTCTCTTACATTCATGAAGTCAAGGCAATAAAAGGAGACATGATGCTCTTTGCTGCTTCAGTTCTATTCACTGCTACTTTGGACCTAGTATTCCATTAGCATTTCAAAGAAGAGTAGAGGATGCACAGGCTTTGTTTCCTATTAAAATAAAATATCCTTCACTGTTTTCTTTACTTGCAACTGTTTATCCTCAACAATGGATTAGTACAGCAATAACTACTTCACCAGACAAAAACGGATGTTTAATTCTTAATTAGCAGGGGATTGAAGGAGCCACCCTTAGAGAGTGGTCATTTGTCATACTCAAACCATCAACTGTACAGTGTAAGTAGTTGGACCAGTGAGAAATCAAAGCACCTCATATAGGTGAATGAGTTCTTTATAAAGGAGTGGGAAAATGCTCCTTTAGAACACTTCAGAGCAGCCAAAAGAGACCTCTTCTTTGTTAACTGAAGGGTAGAGAACTTTGATATTCTAAGTGATCAAATATTTGACATGTTGAGTCGGCCTAAAAAGCGCCAGCAGAAAATTTTTGAGGAACAGGAATATATAAAAATGCAATTAACTTAAAGCTACACAATGGTTAATTTAGGATTCAGAACACCAAAGTGAAGCATTGGTAGCTATCTTTCATACAAACAGGAATAGACAAAGTACTAAAGCTGAAAAGTTCTGACACTTCTGGACATATCAGGAGATAAAATGGTAACACTATTTTTGGACCTAACATTTTACATCAGCTTCTGCACAGAGTACTGTGCAGTGTCTGAAGAAATCATAAATATCATAAAAGGGACATAGAATCATAGAATGGTTTGGGTTGGAAGGGATCTTAAAGATCATCTAGTTCCAAAACCCCTACCATGGGCAGGGACACCTTCCACTAGCCCAGGTTGCTCAAAGCCCCGTCCAGCCTGGCCTTGAACACTGCCAGTGTCTCACCACTCTCATAGTAAAGGATTTCTTCCTAATATCTAATCTAAATCTACCTTCTGTCAGTTTAAAGCCATTCCCCCTCATCCTATCCCTACCTACACCCCCCGATAAAGAGTCCCTCCCCATCTTTCCTGTAGCCCCTTTAAGTACTGGAAGGGCACCATAAGGCCTCCCCAGAGCCTTCTCTTCTCCAGGCTGAACAACCCCAACTCTCTCAGCCTGTCCTCACAGGGGAGGTGCTCCAGCCCCCTGATCATCTTCATGGCCTCCTCTGGACCTGCTCCATAGTAATAATTTGAAAAATCCCTACCGAGAAAGCATAAGACACACTTTTTTTCCATTTACCTACTTGAGACAACAGTGGCATCCAGTGGCCAAATATTAATGTGTTTACGCTTCATGTTGCTCATACGTAATTACTATATCACGTTTTTCTATTTTTTTCATTTCCTTTTTTAATTTACATACAAATGAAACAATTCTGTCCTGTTGTGTAGTCATAAATTTTATCATGAAAACTTACAACTTGGCATACATAAATCTATTTGGTTGACAAGCAATGTAACAATCCATTTCCCCTCCTGTTTTCATCTTCCCAATTTACTGCTGATGTTAACTTCTTCTTGATAATTTTTTTAATTCAGAGAGATAAAACCGGAACAGAGTATTTAAAAATGAGTGCTTAGAATAAATACTTTGTTGAAATGGTGGAGATCAAAGATACAACTGGGATGAAGCCATGTTACTGTCAAGTACTTTCCACTCCTGCCTCTGAAAATCTGACTGGCATCACCCCCGTACTTCACGTAGAGGATTGTCGTGTCATTGTAAAGTATTTTTTCTCCCAGGCTCCAACTTGTAGTGTGCCAAAACTCAAAAATTTAAACAAGATTCATTTAGTAGAGATTTATACTTATGGACATGAAACACACTAAAGCACACTCGAGGGGTGAAATTCATTTGACTCTAAATAATCCCATGCCCTGTATTCAAGTTTTATGCAGTATAGGTAAAAATCTAACCCTAGTGTTTACAAGAAAGCTGCAATTTCAGTCTGCAAATCCTTTCTCGTTCCTTTCTCATTCAATGTTTAATGGAGGAAGAAAGTAATTTTCAACTCCTTTGTATATATTTTTTTAAAGAAAATAATGTCACTTTGCTTCACACTTCTCTAAAATCAAACAACACCTAATTTTTGAAATCTCACAGAATTCCAGCCATACACTTCTTTGTCTGTTAATTTAGAACCAAATTACTACTAAGTAGATTCTCTAATCTGGTCAGAATATTGTTGTAGTCAACTGCTCACTTGTCTTTCCTAATTCTTGCAGTTTGTGACTTTGATTGTTTCTATATCCACACTGATTTTTCTTCTTGAGAAGTTAGGAATACTGTTGTTACTTTTGCCTTGCTTTGGAGCCTCACTGGAGCCAGTCTGATTGACAGCACATTGCAATAACTCCTCCATCTCAAACTGACAAGGGTTGTACTACAACCACAGATGGACCAGCTGCCTGACGTCTTGAGAGCACTGGCTGGCTTTGCTGACTTAGAGCTACTGTATCCACCAAATGCCCCAGTGATTGCTGCTGGACACATGGCAATCAGCTGATAGCCACGGTTACCAGAACCACTAGTTCAGGATGTTGGGACTGTGCTGGAGCTGCAACAGCTAAGAGCAGATAAAGAGCAAGTTTTGGGACTACAGTGATTTCAGACAACTGGGTTGTAAAACTTCTTCATGGGCTATGCATATGAACAAGAACATGATATAGAATATCTTTGAATGAGAACTCAGAGACAGCATACATGGATATACAGACTCTTCATCTAAACCACTACAGGTGTTTTTCATAGAATACAGGTCTGGGATAGATCTTAAGAAGTCATCTAACACTTAGACGCCTACCCCAACAATTTTTTTTTTTCTTAACTCCAAAAACATTTCCAGATGTCATAAGCCAATAAATAAATACACATGTCATTTCATACTTTCCCTTTCAGAGATGCACACATCTGAAGTGCTATTATTTTATGCAACAGCAGTGGAGACAGGCTCATCTATACTGGATTGAACACATATGAACTAAGCTAAGGATTCACAGTGTAACACTAAGTTAAAAGATAACTAGAAATCATAGAAACCCAGTGAGTTTCTGTTTTGATACAATCATTACAAAAGAGAAGATCCCTGAAGTCAGTAATCTAAGAGCTGCTTTTTGAATGAGTGTATGAGGAAGAATCTGAAAAGCCTTATGCTTTATGGGACAGGATTCAAATGCAACATCCACTTTCAGACACAACATAGACATCCTCCAGAGACACATTAAAAATTAAAGCTTTGATCTGCAAAGTGTTTTGATTCTTCATATCACCCAACACAATCACTTCAGAATTCATTCAGTCCAGATCAAAAAATTTACATGACAGACTTGTAAATAGAGGTTTTCAACCAAGGAATGCCATATTTGTTGCTTTGTAATAAGTATGTTCTTTAGAACCAATATACATATTGATAATTTAAAGCTCAACTTTGGGGGGGTGGTCTTCAATGAAATTTTAATAATCTTAGCTCTGCTGCCTTCCTTTGATCCTTTACAATTTATAAGAATGAAGTATGACATAAAGGTGGTAAGAAAGAATGAACAACCTTCTATATTTTCCAAGGAAAGACAATAGTTGGTATAAAAGCTTTTTCCTGAGGTAAGTGTATATATATCCCTTTATCTCCTCCAGATTTTATTCAACCCTCCAAAAACACTGTTCTTTTACATTTGTCAGCAAATTCTTAAATTGTGCATGAGTTATAAACTTCAGCATACATTTTCTCACCTCCTCAGTCTCATGTTCTATTAACTGTTCCATTAGCATTTTTCGTCGTCTCTTTTCTCGTTGTTCTCTAGCAAACGTATCTTCCTCTAAACGGTTTTGAATTTTCCTTATATATTCATCATCTGAATAAATATTTAACAGCTCATTTGCAGTCTGTGCTGTAGTTTCTAGAGATGTTTCTTGCAACTTCTGTGTTTGCAGTGATTGCTGTATATCACTGATTGAAAAGATTAAAAAGAAAAATATCACTGACTTTACAGGAATTATGGTTCTTAGAGGTGTTTTCATAGAGATATGTATATGGTTATGTGCACGTCTGACAAACGTACAGTAGCACTTTTTGTGGGCACTGTGGCTACTTCTTCATGTGTCTGTGCCCCACAATGACTACTAAGTCCAGAGGAGGGCTCCAGCACCGACTTGAGCCAACAATTAGTTCATTTGATATTATGAAGCCATATTCTGCAGAAACAGAAAATAAGGATAGCTCACAAAATATCGAAGAATGATGAGTTACTCTTGAATATATCCATACATTCTGAGTGCAGTTTTGCAGATCTATTAATGACAGGTTGTTTACACACAGCAGTATGCATGAGTGCCATCTCTTCTGAGTATGGTATACATATCACTAAAGATGACAGAATGACTATTACTGAAAATAATTCGCAAATAAATCAACATACAGATAAGTCTAAGTAGAAAGGCTGTTTCTCTATATTTTCTTTGAAAAGTGTTATCATTTATGTACATCCACAACCATTCTCGTCTCTCTGCAAGTCTAACTGACCTTACACACTCAATGACTGAAATGAACAGAGATGCACTTTGTGTCCTTCATTGCTGCATATATGGCAAAAAGGAGAGCAGGAAGCTTGAGCCAAAGGTGAAGTAAAAATACTGTAATGGTGTTGGAGTTGGAATATTTGGAGTGCTAGTGGGACAATTGCTCAAAAGACAGTCACAGCTTAAACTAGACAAGCTACTACATATTGCCCAAGCAGCTGTCTACATAGATAACAGGTATCTGAGGTAGGAACCTGATTAATCTTAACAATCCAAAATCCAAATATTACCCGCCAGTGACTTGGCTGTGTACTGCAGAGGCATTTCCTGCCACAGACTTCTCAAACTTTTTAATCTCCTTGTATGTGTCCTGAGGAAATAAGACAAAATTTAATGTTTCTTTTCTCTTCACAAAGCATCATAAGGAAGGTTCAAGAGACTAAGTATTAGGGCAATATTTTTGTCATGTTAGTACAACAGAAATATTTACACTGAAATTATTTTAAGCATCAGTTAGATCAAGAAAACAGGCAAGACTATTTCCTTCTTCTATATTTCATTTCCTTTCCCCTCCCCTCTTCTTAGAATCCTATGTCTACCAGCCAGAAAATCCTAAGATTTTGCAGCTATTAATTCTGCAGTATAATTCTTATTTTACATAGGACTCTACTTGTCTATATAATTCCCACCATTTAGGGATCTGAAACAAGATATTCTGGGCTATGATCCACTTCAGATTTAGTAGCTTGAATTTATCCCTGATAGTTACTCAAGCAATTGTGTTCCTACATTCTATATTTAAATACATCTGTCATGGTTGCATAGTTATAGAAACTGGTAATATTTGCACTCCTTATGACAATACAATCCATGAACTGTAAAATTACAATCCAAGTACACTTCAGCACTAGATAATATTGAAATCTTTTTTATTGTGCATTGATATAATCTCTTGATGGGATCCAAGTCTATTGTCAATTTTTGCTGTTACTAACATTTTTGATAGAGCAGACAGTCTTAAAGTATGTTACAGAAGAGTTCATAAATTATGGTGCAAAACTTCATCATGCACAAATATGAAAGAAACATTAGTGCTTTAATTTCACATATTCTACTCAGTAGACCAGAAGCTAAAATACTGTTAGCAATTAAATTAGTACCTACCTATGGTATTTATTCTGTAAGAACCTTCTCTTACATCAAACCAAATTTTTATTAAGTAACAAATGAAGAATCATAATCAAATTAATATTTAGTCTAATTTTCAATGGTTGAGTCTGTATCATTTTAACAGTTGTGTCAGCAGCTTTTGGATGGTGCAAATACAGTATTTGTAAGTGTAAATGCTTCCAGAAATAATGTTTTGCAAGTCCATATAATTAACATTAAAAGAATATAGACCATAGTTACCTCTGCTTCTCTTTTTTTCTTTAATTTTTTGGCTTCAGAAGCTTTTATGGTGTGGCTTGGTGGTGGCTTTGGAATCTGTATAATGGCTGCTTGAATCCTGGCCATTATTTCATTTTGTCTCCTTCTTCCTATGCGATGCTAAATATACAACATCTTGTGTTCAGACACTTGAGTTGAAACAAGATACAGCCCTAATACGCTACCTATATATTGATGAAGTAAATATAACTGCCATAAAGAAAAACGTTTTCCAGGAAGAAAGTAGAAGAGCTTATCAGGCTCCAGGCTTGAACAAACTACTTTTCCTTCTTTCTTTTTTCTCATTCAAGTGGATCACTGAAATGCCATGAAAGCAAATAAATTCTTTCTCTTTCATCCACAGTTAAACCTTGTCTTAAGAATATTCTCAGTCACTGTACTTGTAAATCACAATTTTAAAAGAAGTAGATGTTGTAAAATACATTTTAAATTAAATCATTTTTCATTCTGAGTAATTTGACAGCTTAGCAATATACTAGTATATGTTCTCAATATTTGAGGATGAAGATATATTTTTAAACTACAATTATCAGAAAATGATACATCTATAAATGCTATGTCTACATTAACAAATAGTGTGGAGCAATAGAAGCACATCTGTAAAGAAAAACAGTCTGTGCTCAGTGCCTAATAGGCATGTAAGGACTCGTATTAAATTCTAGCTCTAGTATGGTACCTGTTTCAGGTCAGAATTCATCATGGAAACTGAGAATCCATCTTCCTGGTACAGAAACTGAGAATACCATTAGGCAATATTACCACTGAAAAATTAGTCTCAGATGATCAAGAAGCAACAAACATTTAAATTATACGATTTAAAAGTGCACTACAGATGCATGCAGTTAAAGGTGGAATTGAGTGGAGAAAAAGTTTTTTTACAAAAAGTCAAAGATATTAAAAAATTTAATATGTAATATATCAAGTTATTAATATTTTTTATATTTTTTTAAATATATATTTTGGATACTGCTTGTATTTTCTAGATACACAAAGGGACTTTTTTCATTCTTGCTCATGCAGTGGCAATAGAACAGCTAAATAACCACAGCAAGACTCTCTCCCTTTAATTCGCTATATAAAATGCTTCTCAAACTAGTCAACTTCACTTTCATTGGTTCATCAACCCTTGAATAGCTGGCAAGTTCCTCTATATAAACTACAGGCTGTATTTTGGATGACTGTTTTCATACCTTAAGAATTTAGTTTACCTTTTTTACTTTACCAGAACAGCTACACAGAGCTACAAGATGCTCTGAGGTCATACCCACTATAGGTCCCCTTCCCTGTGTCTTTTTCCTGCTTTTGAACAATGCTTCATCTTTTCTTCACAAATGAAGTATGCCACAAACCTCTTTTACAAGGACACCTTAAACACATACAGTTGTGAAATTTAAACTTCATCTTCAAATCTGTAACTATTTTCCATGAACAACAACCCACAAAAACTCTCAATTTAACATTAAATGATTTTTAAATATTGATGCTAAGGATCTTATATCACTATACTGACTTTGTATCTACATATTAATGATTGCCATACATACCCTTTTTCTTTGTTTTTGTATAAACATGACTGTGTGGCACAGAATTAACAAGCATTCACACTGGCTTTAACTAACTCATTGTGTACATGACCTTAAGAAAAAACTTCTTCAGAAGTCTATAAAAAGTAAGCAGTCACCTTTTCAATGTCTTCGGCTCTTTGTTCCTCTTTTAGCTTCTGAACTTTCTGTTGTTCTGCAATATGTATGCGAGCTATTTTATCTTCTATTGCCTTAGATTTTATTTCAAATTGCTCTGAAATCTGCTGCAGTTGCAAATCAGTCTGACGTGGCGTTAAAGTTTTCAGACACTAAAATTAAACATCAAGCAATGAAGAGTCAGAAACAGTAAGAAACCATATTATATTTTTGCAATAGCTATTTCAAACTGTGTTTTCCTGTGTTAATGTACACAGAACATCTAAACATGGTTGAATATTTTTCAGACGAACAAGTCTAGCTCCACTGAAAATAACATGAAGATTTGAACTTGAACAATGCCAAAATTTGTTTAGTTTGGAGACAAGGAGGCTGAGGGGTGACCTCATTGCTCTCTACAGCTTCCTGAGGAGGGGAAGTGGAGAGGGAAGTGCTGAGCTCTTCTCCCTGGTATCCAGTGACAGGACACATGGGAATGGTTCAAAGCTGAACTAGGGGAGGTTTAGACTGGACATCAGGAAGCATTTCTTTACTGAGGGGGTGGTCACACACTGGAACAGGCTTCCCAAAGAGATGGTCGACACCCAAAGCCTGTCAGTGCTTAAGGGGCATTTGGACAATGCCCTTAACAACATGCTTTAACTTTTGGTCAGCCCTGAATTGGTCAGGCAGTTGGACTAGATGATCATCGTAGGTCCCTTCCTACTGGAACTACATTCCATTCTATTCAAACTGAAATACAGAAAAGTCAACTTAAACATAAGGAAAAAGAATTACTGAAAGGGTAATAAACAATTTGTCCAGACAGGCTGTGTAATCTACAACTTTGGAGATATTCAAGACCCAACTGAACAAGATCCATGAGCAACCTGCTCTAGCTGACTTTTCGTAGGGCAGGGAGGGTGGATTAAGTGACCTCCAGAGGCCCCTTCCAACCTCAAATATCCTACAATTGAAATGCCATTCTGAACCTATCTATTGATAGGAGCTACTCTCAGTTGTTTTATCTTCTTTAAGTTATTCCACTATAGGTGAAGGGATGTTTCAACTGTTTGCCACTTTCCTTGAACTTTTTGGTAAACTTTCTGCTTGTAGACTGTTTTCCAGGAAGTATGCCAGGAAAAAATAATGAAATTTCACCTAGTTAAATTTGATTAATGATATATAGCTTCTTAAAGATTGCTCATCCTGGTAACAAATTATGGTCTGCACATGCTGAACATTACTGTTGGAAGACAAGAAGAACATCTTTAACAGAATCTACTACATCAATACTGACTTCCTCTTTAAATACTCTCTTTCCCCTTTGTTTTTCCCTCTTTATATTACTCAGCACATGGTTATTGCAGGCTGGAGTGTAGTATAAATAAATGGAGAGACCTGCAACAGAAGGAACCAAACCACTGTGGCACGAAGCTCACCACAGTTATAAATAGGTTTCCTGGAGGGGAAATTAGTCTGATACCTAGACCACAATAAAGTCTGCAATCTCTACTGATCTAAGGAGTAAAATGGCAGCTGCTGAACAACTACTAGCTTTTGTTGCTATACATAACTTAAGTCTGGAGAAAGCTTAAAACAGAGCAGGTAACATAGAATGAGCCAAAATAAAGGAACACAAAACACATATGATCAATATCCTCATGAGTCACAGATAAACCATGTAATCCCACTGTCTATGTCTAAGACATAGCAAAGGACTGCTTCTTTTCCATATAAGTATTGTGTTTTGAATAGGAGATTTAGAAAGTGGGGAGGAGAAGCATGCAACATACTTGAGAGGTACATGTAAATATCTTTTATCCTATATGTAAATGTAAATACCTTTTATGATATATATTTATATAAAATAGCCATAGTTAGTTACCTCTCGATACAAAACACTTTCAATAGACTTAAGCTTTGCAGTTGCTGCAGGTCTCATTGCTTCCATGGCTACTCCAGTGAGTTTTGCCTTCCTCTTTTTTTCTAAAGCAATATACAACTCATATAAAAGCTTTGTTGCAGCTCCATGCTGTCCTGTCATGATGTCTTGGGCCACATTCTCATTAAACTGTACACCAAGGAGGTGAAATGTGGGCTCCAGGCGAGAAAAATTGTTAAGTTTTGCATTTGCAACCCTATATGATTAAAAACAAGAACAAAAAAACAACAATCAGAACATAAACTTACTTGCAATTCCAACTTGCTGCAATAAGCATGGTCATGACATTTATCTCATATCCAGATAGGAAAGGTAAAAAGCCACAGATTACTTCCTTAAAGTAATGTGATACACACTTTGGCAGTACTGCAGTACATGTAACTGCATTGGTCTACTAGGCACAACTTTTGGAAAAATAGAGAACACACTGGGTTATATAAATCTTGATACATGCACACACAAAGTGCACCTGACAGCAAAAGTTCACCCCCTGTTGCAGCTAATTGTATACCATTCACAAAAAAAGTACAGAGTTAGAATGAAATTTCTGATTAACTGTATCAATCCACTTGAGCTCTAAACAGCCAAAATATACGAAATTTTAATAGTCTATATAATCTATTAACACAACATTTCATCGTATTTTTTCTCCATTACGAAGAAATGGACATATGGGTTTTGAAGTACTGTTGAAAACAAAGACTATGATCTCAACAAGCAATTTAGATTCAAAACTGAAATAGTGGATTGCAAAGTAATGTTTCTCTTGATATGTAGATTCTTCTGTGGAAGCACTCAAGATCAATAGATATACAGGCCAAAACCCAATAACAATAAATTATTACTGTATCACAATTAACGCATCAAATTTAATCCAACAAATCCATAACTTCAATCTGAGACAAAACATCATGCTTTTCATACTGCTCTATCACTTGGGTTCACAGTAATCCCTTCACATAAACCAACAAGCTTCTGAGGTCAGAAAAGCTACAGCATAATTCTACAAAAATGTTCAACTTTAACATAATACCTTCTGGTAACACAGTATTCACCTTATTCCTAAACGAAATAATCAAGGAGCTCATTATTCTCACTGTAATAGTCCATTGCCTTATTTCTTACACAATTATACATAACTGCAGCTTACAATTACGGAATATTCTTCTGTCATTGAGTCAAGGTTAAGGTGAGCCCTATTGTCAGAAATCACCTCACATGCACTGGGAATCTGTGGTGATATCATCTCTTAATTTTTTGTTCTGTAATCAGTCCAGACGGAACTTCTTAACCTTGCCTCATAATACAAAAATGTTGTAAATCTTATTTCAAGATCATTGTAAGAGTTCAGTGAAAACTTCACTATTTTATTTTTTAAATATGGACTGCAAAACTGGAAAAAGTTTTCCCATAGTATTTCTTTTTAAAAAGTAGCATCACTTCCTCAATTATTATTCCTTTGCTTATAAGTCCAAGAACTGTGAAACATAAGCAGCTAATATAGGTAAGTAGACCTTGACTAGTTAGTCACAATGACCCAACATTTTTCTCTGTCAGTGCCTTCTAGATTACAGTTGCGTATCCTAAAAAATGAATCTACGTTTCTTCCACCACCACCCCAGCATCTATGATCTTGCCTTGGACTGTGTTAAAACAAAACAAAGTGATGCCAGCTTACCAACTGATTTATGAATAATAATGTTTTTCCTTAATAGCACACTCTAAATTTTAAGAGTATTACTTTATAGATGTTAAGTAAGATTAGGCACGTACACATTCTTGCAGGATTCCGGGACCATAAAATTACTATTACACAGTAATAATTGATTTAATATGCAGAAAATGAATCTTGGAATTGTGAAAATCTTGCCTCAATTCTCAACAGTTCTCAAAAGATCAATGTCAGTAATAATTAGAAAATAAAATAATGAAGAAAGGTGAAAGCATCTATTTATCTTTAAAAATTAATGAAATACCATGGTAAAGAACATCACATACAGTCTTCCTCCCTCTCCTTGTATGCCAGATTCCTACAGACCTTAGGAATTGTCAGGGTCTTTCTCTGGGCCTGGTCCAATATATCCATGTCTTTCTGTTGTGGTAAGGCATTAGCTGTCTTTTTCTCTCTGCTAAGCCAGAGAAATGTGGCATTCAGATCACAGCTAACCCCTACAGGAGGTTGAAACCTTCACGGGAACAAAAGCAGAAACGCGAATATGGTGGTTGATGTTTGTTCAATTTATTAACTGCGCAATTGCTTTATATACACCTTTCTGTATATCGCGAGATGTTTAGTTCCCTGTTCTTTCCGTGCATCACAAGATCTTCATGAGCCTCTATTCTTCCCGTACATCACGAGATCTTCCGAGGGCCTCTCCCTACATCTTTCTTGCACTGGGGAGTCCTGAACTGGATGCAGCACTCCAGATGTGGTCTCACCAGTGCCATCTCTTTTTAATGTGATCAGGACACTGTTGGTCGCCTTTGCTGCAAGGGCACATTGCTGGCTCATGATCAACTACTTCTCCACCAGGGCCTCCAGGCCCTTCTCTGCAAAGCTGCTTTCAAGACAGTTGGCCCTCAGCTGGTACTGAAGGCACGGGGTTGTCCTCACCAGAAGCATTTCCCTTTGCTGAACTTCATGACATTTCTGCCAGCCCTTTTCTCCAGCCCATCAAGGTGCCTCTGGAGGGCAGCACAGACATCTGGTGTATCAACCTCTCCTTCCAGTTTTGTATCATCTGGAAACTTGCTGAGGGTGTGCTCTGTCTCATCATGCAGGTCATCAGTGAAGATGTTTAAACAGTATTGGTCTCAGAATCAGCCTTTGGGCTACACCACTAATCACTGACTGTCACCTACACTTCACACAGCTGATCACAAACCCCTGAGCCTGGCAGTTCAGCCAGTGTTCAGTCCACCTCATTCTCCAGTTACCTAGTCCATACGTCATCAGTTTGTCTATGAGAATGTTAAGGAAGACAGTGTCAGAAGTCTTAATGGCACAGGAGCAGGTGGTGCTCAGGTGCTGTAAGAGATGCCAGTGCCAGAAAAGACCACCCTGGCTGAAAAGGGAACTTCAGCTGCAACTCAGGGAGAAAAGGAGAGTTTACAGCCTTTGGAAGAAGGGGCTAGCCACTCACAATGATTACAAAGAGGATGTGAGGCTATGCAGGGCAGAAATCAGGAGGTCTAAAGCTCAGCTAGAAATTAACCTGGCTTCAGCAGTCAAAGATAACAAGAAATGTTTCTATAAGTATGTGGGCAGCAAAAGAAAGACATGGGAAAGTCTCCATCCCCTGCTACATGCAGGAGGAAACATGGTAACAAGTGATGAGGAGAAGGCTGAGGTGCTTAATGCCTTCTTTGCCTCAGTCTTTAATAACAAGACTAGTTGTACTGAGGGAATCCAGCCTCCTCAGCCAGAAGTCAGACGGGGAGAACGACCCCCCTGAAATCCAGGAGGAGACTGTCAGTGACCTACTGCATCACACAGACACACACAAGTCCATGGGACTGGATGGGACACACCCGAGGGTGCTGGAGGAGCTGGCTGGGGTGCTCACCAAGCCGCTTTCCATCCTTTACCAGCAGTCCTGGCTGACCAGGGAGGTCCCAACAGATTGAAAATTGGCCAATGTGACGGCCATCTATAAGAAGGGTCAGAAGGATGATCCAGGAAATGACAGACCAGTCAGCTTGACTTTGGTACCTGGGAAGCTGATGTAGCAGCTCATCCTGAGTACCATCACACAACACGTGCAGGACAACCAGATGCTCAGGCCCAGTCAGCATGGGTTCATGAAAGGCAGGTCCTGCTTGACAAACCTGATCTCCTTCTACATCAGGGTGACCTGCTTGTTGGATGAAGGAAAGGCTGTGGATGTTGTCTACCTTGACTTCAGTAAGGCCTTTGACACCGTTTCCCACAGCATTCTACTGGAGAAACTGGCTGCTCACAGCTTGGATGGGCACAGGCTTTGCTGGGTAAAAAACTGTCCAGATGCTGGGCCCAAAGGGTTGTGGTGAACAGAGTTAAATCCAGCTGGCGGCCGGTCACCAGTGGTGTCCCCCATCTTTATTGATGATCTAGATGAGGGGATCGAGGGCACCCTCAGTCAGTTTGCAGATGACCCCAAGTTGGGTGGGAGTGTTGTGATCTGCTCGAGGGTAGGGAGGCTCTACAGAGAGACCTGGACAGGCTGGAGCCATGGGCTGAGCCCAACTGGGGGAGTTTCACTAAGGCCAAATGCCGGGGGCTGCCCTTGGGCCACAACAACCCCCAGCAGCGCTGCAGGCTTGGGGAGGAGTGGCTGGAGAGCTGCCAGTCAGAGAGGGACCTGGGGGTGTTTATTGACAGCCGGCTGAACAGGAGCCAGCAGTGTGCCCAGGTGGCCAAGAAGGCCAATGGCATCCTGGCTTGTGTCAGCAATAGTGTGGCCAGCAGGGACAGGGATGTGACAGGGGAGACCTCATCGCCCTCTACAGCTACCTGAAAGGAGGGTGCAGAGAGCTGGGGATGAGTCTCTTTAACCAAGTAACAAGCGATAGGACAAGAGGTAATGGCCTCAAGCTGTGCCAGGGAAGGTTTAGACTGGATATTAGGAAGCATTTCTTTCCAGAAGGTGTTGTTAGGCGTTGGAAAGGGCTGCCCAGGGAGGTGGTGGAGTCCCCATCCCTGGAGGTGTTTAAGAATCATGCTGTCATAGCATTGAGGGATCTGATGTAGTTGGAAACTGTCAGTGTGAGGTTAATGGTTGGAGTGGATTATCTTCAAGGCCTTTTCCAACCTAGTTGACTCTGTGAAAAGTCAATGTAAACAGTACTGATCTTCTCTCAGCCACTGTGCCAGCCACCTCACTGTAGAAGGGTGTCATGTAGTCGGGCATGATTTCCCCTTCGTAATCCATGCTGACAACTCCAAATCATTATCTTGTCCTTAATATACTCGGAAATGGTTTCCATGCTTATTTGTTCCGTTGGTTCCCAGGGACTGAGGTGAGGCTGACTGGCCTGTACATCCCCAGTTCCCCCTTCTTGCTTTTCTTGAGGACAGGAGTGGCAGTTGCATTCTTCTAGTCCTCGGAATCTCCTCCAATCACCAGGACCTTTCAAAGATTATTGAGAGTGGCATAGCATTGACACCGCCCAGGTCCCTCAGCATGTGTAGGTATATACCATCATGTCCCATGGACCTGTGTACTTACAGTTTACATAAATGTTCCTTAAGCTGATCCTCCTCCACCAAGGGTAAATCTTTCCTGCTGCAGACTTTCCTGCTAGTCTCAGGGTCTTGGCATTTCTGAGTGCAAGTTTTACCAGTAGACTAAGACAGAGAAGGGATTAAGTACCTCATGCTTTTGCATGGCAGGCTGAGGAGTATTCGAGAGTCTGAGATAAAGATTCATCAATGGAGCTGTACTCTGACATCTAGGATGCGTGGCCACTGTTAAGGGGTATGCTTTGTCCAGGAGGAAGGCAGCATCACAAGGGAGGAGGGGTGGAAGAAGGTTACAGCATGGAGTTTTAAGCAAAACCCCTCCTTACCCTCTAAGATACCCTTACACAATAGGTAGAATGCCCTGGGTGTGGTGGAGAATGCACATAATGAGATAGAGGAGGAACTTGCACAAGCAGTCTTGCCAAGGTCAGGGAGGCCAACCCCTCACAACAAAACCTACATTAAGACCAGTGCCAAGAAGAAACAACAGTGAGTTACGGTCACTGGGGATTCCCTACTGTGCAGCCCCTGTTTGCAGACCAGACTCTATTTTCAGGGAAGTTTGCTGCCTCCCTGGAGCCCAAATTAGGAATGTCAACACAAGACTCAAGAGCTTAGTACAACCTTCAGACTACTACCCATTCCTGCTCTTCCACATGAGTACAAATGATGTCACAACAAAAGTCTGAAGTCAACCAAGAGATTTCAGAGCCCTGGAAAGAATGCTAAAAATTTTGGGAGCACACATATCGTGTTTTCCTCAATGTAAGCACTGATGGGTTTTTTTGACTGGGTCCTGTGCCCCAGTCAGCAGCAGGCTCATGTTTTCTCTACCCTTCCTTTTGCTGTGGAGATACCAGCAAAAACCCTTCTCATTGCCCTCCATGTCCCTCACCAGTTTTGACTTCTAATGGGCATTGGCTTTCCTAAAGCCATCCCTACATATTCAAGACTGTCTCTGTGCTCTTCCTGGATCATCTGACCCTGTTTCCACATCTTGTATTCTTCCTTATTGTGTTTCAGTTTTGTCAGCAGCACCTTATTCTTCCATTCATATTTCCTGCTGCCTTTGTTCAGTCACACCTTGCAAGAAAAAAAAAAAAACTGGAAAAAAAAAAAATCAGCTGCCTTGGACCTTTCTTCTCTCCAGGACCATTTTACTAAGATCCTTCCAAGCAGATCGCTGAACAAGCCGAAGTCTGGTTTCCTGACACCTAAGATTCTGATGCTGCTTATTTAGCTTGTTCACTTCTCTTAAGATCATGAACCCCACCATCTCACAGTCATTGCAGTCAATGCTGCACCCCACCTCCCTTGTGAGTACATACTAGGTTTAGTAGAACATCTCCCCTCTTCAGCTCCCCAATCACATCTCTCAGGAAGCTATCGTCAATGCACTCCAGTAACCTCCTGGTTGCTTGTGCCTGGCGGTGTTTCTCTTCCAGTGGATACCAACTTGGTTAAAGTTTCCTATTCAACCAAGGTTTGTAAAAATGAGAATTCTTCCAGTTGTCTCAAGAAAACCTTATGTACTTCTTCCTGCTCAAATGATCTGTGGCAAACACCAGCACAGCATCACCCAGTTTGGCCTTTCCTCTAATCCTAACATATAAAACCTTAACTGGTCATCATCCATCCCAAGGTAGAGGTCCACGCGTTTTCTCTGCTCTCACATAAAGAGAAACTCCTCCTCCTCACCCTCCCAGCTTGTCCATCTGTCACAAACTGTACATAAACAATGAATTGTTCATAAAGATGATGTCTCAAATAACTCGAGTGAAATGCCCTGTGGGGGAGAAGTGGAGAGAGCACTGTGGAGGTGGGGCACTGGGCCACTTCTCTCCCTCTCCCTCCTGTTGTTGCCTAGAGACAGAACTTGGCTAACTGTGCAGGTACAAGCCAGAGAAAGCAATAATCTTCTGGAACAACTCATTGCACACGTGTAAGAAAAATTATTATATAAAGACAACACCACATGTATGTCTTTGTCGACCCACAGACCAAGCCTGCTACTCTATGACAACACAGGATCCAAGCCTGGTGATTCCCCTTTTCTTATCTCCTCTCTTTATCATCTTTCTGCTCTCTCTCTCTCTTTCTCACATATATTCATGTGTATAACTTTTGTACAAATTGTGATCAGTTGACCGTTGACCGGTTGTTAGGAAAATAGTCACATCACCAAACTGCCTTTATTTGTTCAAGTTATCAGCTAATTGTTGCCATATTGTCTACATTCACTCACTAAAGTTGTCATTTAACGTAAGTTACCAACTAAATTGTTCCTCTGAGTCGCTGTGGTGACTCAGACCGCCCTGCTGCTCTGCCAAGCAGAGACCAGCTCTTCCACCGGCTCTTGGGGAATTTAAAACACTCACCCCCCCTCATAACCCATTGCACGGGATAAGACACATCCTAAAGAGCCTGTGTCCAGCCAAGGCAGTACCCTAGTTGTGTGAGCTATCCCACTACCTGTGATTCTAGTGATACAGTAGTCCTTAAACTGCACACAGGCTTCTAACTCCTTCTGTTTGTTCCCCATGCTGCATGCATTAATGCAGAGACAGACACTTCAGAGAGGCAGCCAGTTGTGTTGATTTACCAGAAAAAGTGTGAACACTTCTCCCATAATGGTGTCTTCTCAGCACTTCCTTAACTGTGTACATACATTTAGGGTGGGCAGCCATCTGCACTGTTTTGCCCCTCTTATTCACATCACCCTTCTCCTCTTGCTCGCCAGTCTAGGTCACCACTTCCTCCCCTGTTTGAGAGTAATCATCTTATTTCCCCCTCATTCCTAGTTTAAAGCTATTCTCACCAGGTTTGCCAGACTGTTGGCAAAAATGCTTTTGCCCAACTTGGTCAGGTGGGATCCATCTCTTCCTAGCAGTTCTCCATCTTCAAAGAGGACCCCACGACTGCAAAAAACAAATCCCTGCTTGACATCCACTGCACAACCACTTGTTGATAAGTAGAATCTATCCACTCCTCATCAAGCCCTTCTACCTCACCAGCAGAAATGAGGGAAAAAACCACTTGGGCCCCATGCCTTTGACTTTTGCCTCTAGAGCCACTCTTCATATGCTCCATGTCTCTCTGGCAGTATCCTTGGTGCCCACATAGAAGAGCAACAGGGGTAACAATGCAAGGGCTGGATGAAGCTCCACAGTCCTGGACCCAGCTCTCAGCAAGCAGCAAACCTCCCTGCCTAGCATACAAGGTCAGCAGGCCTCCATCTCCTGCAGGAGAAAGTCTCCTACTACTATCACTCACCTTTAATCCTGGTGCTACTGTGGGGTTCAGGCTTCTTCAGCTCAGATGCTTTGTTGCACAGAGCCATCAGCCTCTCATCTGCTACCAAGGCAATGAACCTGTTCTGCATAGGCAGATCAGCAAGTGAACCTTCCTTCTCTTGCCAGAAGTCATGAGCTGCCAGTCATCTCCTTTTCCCAACCTAACAAGCACAGATTCTCATTGCCTCCATCTCAGCACAGCTGCACATTCAGGTTCCTGTATTTGCAGTATCTCAGAGAAGATCCAGTCAATCTCCTTTTCATCATCTGTGATGTGAACCATCTACTGAGCTCCTTCTGCAGCCGCTTGACTTGGTGAAACAGATCTTAGATGAGCACACACCTCTGCAGGCAAACCCACCCGCTCCCCCTGCCTAAGGCTAAGATTTTTCAACTTCTTGTTCACTGTGGATATTATACCACAGAAGTTTACTTGTTAGCTTATAAATTCTCATGTAATCTTCCTTCAGGGCTTTACTCAGAGCCCCGCAATAGATCTCGACCATTTTCATTTTAGCGAAGGTGTAATGGTCACCACCGCACTACACCTCTGGATTCCTGGCTCTAAACAGCTCATGGGGTCAGTGTCAGTATCTCCAATTGTAGAGACATCCTTGAAGGCCTGTTGAACTTTTGGTCTCACCTGTTGCTATGATAGTTACAATCAAAATTCTTGCAGTAGTATGATCAGTCTCTATGGAAATACGAAGCTAATCCGTAGTAGCTTTTGACTTACTGGTAAATGTATCAAATCTTAATAAGTTCTACATGTCTTTCTCATTCTGGATTAGCAAATCATAACCGAAAAATAAATATCTTGTCTGATTTATGTAAGAGATGTGTTATCCATAGGTACTAACCTGCTCTGTGAAAACTGATTAAAGTCATCCTGAAGACCGTATTTGTGTAGAAGTTCTCCTAGGAGGTAGCCAGTAGAAAATTCTTCTGAAAATGATCCTGGGACTTGTTTATTGTGTTTTTAAAAAAAAAAAATAAAAATCATATATTATTCTTAATTCAACTTGTTATTATTTTTGTAACAAAACCAAGCCCAGACTTTATTAAATAATTCAAAGAAATTTTAGAAGATTAATCTAGCAGTAACTAGTTTTCAAGTCACAAATAAATGTACTTTCAGTGTAGGTATTTTGCAACGTGAACTTTAAGTAGTTATTTAATTCCCATTTTTGGTGTTAAAAAGTGAACACTTTCATAATTGTCCTTGAGATCGTGGCAGTATCTATAAAGGATAAATTACTAAATTTTCTGTAAAAAATGCAAAAACCCCGTTAGATCTAATGTGCTTCTCTCCCACGGAAAGTTGCTTTCTCTTTGCAGAACAAATGCTTTTCCAAAGCCAGCACAACACCTGCCATTCAAAACAAAGCACTGCTTTGCAAACATATTAAAATGTATTTATCCTCTGGAGTCCTTATTAGCAGATGAAGCCTGAGATCCTCGTACCTCCTGAGAGCGCTTGCGCCTTGAGGAAAATTAGCTTCAGCTCGAAAATCACCGCCTTGCATATGAACATTAAAAATGTACCTGAGGAGGTATGTTGACGCGAGGAAGCGGGAGGGTTGGTCCGTCGGTCAGTCAGCGGGAGTGGGCCCCGGGGGACCCCTGGATCCGCCGGCGGCAGGAAGGCCCGGCCCTGCGGCAGACCCCGCGCTGAGAGGCAAGAC